GTTGGTATGTATATATATATGGTCATGTTGGTATCTATGGATAAATGGTCATGCTGGTATGTATGGATAAATGGTCATGTTGGTATGTCTATATAAATGGTCATGTTGGTATGTCTATATAAATGGTCATGTTGGTATGTATGGATAAATGGTCATGTTGGTATGTCTATATAAATGGTCATGCTGGTATGTATGGATAACTGCTCATGTTGGTATGTATGGATAAATGCTAATGTTTGTATGTCTGTATAAATGGTCATGTTGGTATGTATGGATAAATAGTCATGTTGGTATGTCTATATAAATGGTCATGTTGGTATGTATGGATAAATGGTCATGTTGGTATGTCTATATAAATGGTCATGTTGGTATCTATGGATAAATGGTCATGTTGGTATGTATGGATAAATGGTCATGTTGGTATGTATGGATAAATGGTCATGTTGGTATGTATGGATAAATGGTCATGTTGGTATGTATGGATAAATGGTCATGTTGGTATGTCTATATAAATGGTCATGTTGGTATGTATGGATAAATGGTCATGTTGGATATGTATGTGGATAAATGGTGGATAAATGGTATGTTGTATGTAAATGGTATGTCTGTATAAATGGTCATGTTGGTATGTATGTATATAAATGGTCATGTTGGTATGTATGGATAAATGGTCATGTTGGGCATGTTGGTCTATATAAATGGTCATGTTGGTATGTATGGATAAATGGTCATGTTGGTATGTCTATATAAATGGTCATGTTGGGTATGGTCTGTATAAATGGTCATGGATAAATGGTATGGTATGTATGGATAAATGGTCATGTTGGTATGTCTATATAAATGGTCATGTTGGTATGTATGGATAAATGGTCATGTTGGTATGTCTATAAATGGTCATGTTGGTATGTATGGATAAATGGTCATGTTTGGTATGTATGTCTGTATATAAATGGTCATGTTGGTATGTATGGATAAATAGTCATGTTGGTATGTCTATATAAATGGTCATGTTGGTATGTCTATATAAATGGTCATGTTGGTATGTATGGATAAATGGTCATGTTGGTATGTCTATATAAATGGTCATGTTGGTATGTATGGATAAATGGTCATGTTGGTATGTATGGATAAATGGTCATAATGGTATGTATGGATAAATGGTCATGTTGGTATGTATGGATAAATGGTCATGTTGGTATGTCTATATAAATGGTCATGTTAGTTTGTCTATAAAAATGGTCCTGTGGATATGTATGGATAAATGTTCATGTTAGCATGTCTGTATAAATCGTCATGTTGGCGTGTTAATATAAATGGTCATGTTAGCATGTTTATATACTTCCTTTCAAAAGTTTAGAGTCACTTGTGTAAATATTGCCACTTACTTCAGGCAACTGTTCTCAAATAAATTGCATAAAATATTCCATGCTGTTTAAAGGTACTGTTTACACATGAACTGATGTATTGCAAAACAAATTCGTAACGTTGAAAAGATTATTGTCATGAGTTAAAAATCAGTGAAAATTGGCGAATTCTTAATAAAACTTTACACCTATACACAGCTGTTCACATGCATATTATTTGCACATGCTTTTCCTCGTGCAATTCATCTGCATAAGGTTTGCAGTTGGTTCCCCCAAGTTAGTGGAGAAATCAATCTTCGATGTAACCATATAAATATACTGACCAGCAATATGTTAATATAAATGGCCATGTTGGTATATATGGATAAATGGTCATGTTGACATGTCTGAATAAATGGTTATGTTGGCATGTTAATATAAATGGTCATGTTGGCATGTCTGAATAAATGGTCATGTTGGTATATCTGCATAGATAGTCATGTTGGCATGTCTGAATAAATGGTCATGTTGGCATGTCTATATAAATGGTCATGTTGGCATGTTAATATTAATGGCCATGCTGGTATGTATGGATAAATAGTCATGTTGGCATGTGACTATAAATGGCCATGTTGGCATGTTAATATAAATGGTCATGCTGGTATGTATGGATAGTCATGTTGGCATGTCTGAATAAATGGTCATGTTGGCATGACTGAATAAATGGTCATGTTGGCATGATAATATAAATGGTCATGTTGGCATGTCTGGATAAATGGTCATCTTGGTATATCTGCATACATGGTCATGTTGGCATGTCTGAATAAATGGTTATGTTGGCATGTTCATATAAATGGCCATGCTGGTATGTATGGATAAATAGTCATGTTGGTATGTCTGAATAAATGGTCATGTTGGCATGTTAATATAAATGGTCATGTTTGCATGTGACTGTAAATGGTCATGTTGGCATGTTAATATAAATGGTCATGTTGGCATGTGAATATAAATGGTCATGTTGGCATGTTAATATAAATGGTCATGTTGGCATGATAATATAAATTGTCATGTTGGCATGTCTGTATAAATGGTCATGTTAGTATATCTGAATAAATGGACATGTTGGCATGTCTGAATAAATGGTCATGTTGGTATATCTGCATACATGGTCATGTTGGCATGTCTGAATAAATGGTCATGTTGGCATGTTAATATAAATGGCCATGCTGGTATGTATGGATAAATAGTCATGTTGGCATGACTGAATAAATGGTCATGTTGGCATGTTAATATAAATGGTCATGTTGGCATGTTACATATAAATGGTCATGTTGGCATGATAATATAAATTGTCATGTTGGCATGTCTGTATAAATGGTCATGTTAGTATATCTGAATAAATGGACATGTTGGCATGTCTGAATAAATGGTCATGTTGGTATGTTAATATAAATGGCCATGCTGGTATGTATGGATAAATAGTCATGTTGGTATGTCTGAATAAATGGTCATGTTGGCATGTTAATATAAATGGTCATGTTGGCATGTGAATATAAATGGTCATGTTGGCATGTTAATATAAATGGTCATGTTGGCATGATAATATAAATTGTCATGTTGGCATGTCTGTATAAATGGTCATGTTAGTATATCTGAATAAATGGACATGTTGGCATGTCTGAATAAATGGTCATGTTGGTATATCTGCATACATGGTCATGTTGGCATGTCTGAATAAATGGTGATGTTGGCATGTTAATATAAATGGCCATGCTGGTATGTATGGATAAATAGTCATGTTGGCATGACTGAATAAATGGTCATGTTGGCATGTTAATATAAATGGTCATGTTGGCATGTTAATATAAATGGTCATGTTGGCATGTGAATATAAATGGTCATGTTGGCATGTGAATATAAATGGTCATGTTGGCATGTTAATATAAATGGTCATGTTGGCATGATAATATAAATGGTCATGTTGGCATGTCTGTATAAATGGTCATGTTAGTATATCTGAATAAATGGACATGTTGGCATGTCTGAATAAATGGTCATGTTGGTATGTTAATATAAATGGCCATGCTGGTATGTATGGATAAATAGTCATGTTGGTATGTCTGAATAAATGGTCATGTTGGCATGTGACTATAAATGGTCATGTTGGCATGTTAATATAAATGGTCATGTTGGCATGTGACTATAAATGGTCATGTTGGCATGTTAATATAAATGGTCATGTTGGCATGATAATATAAATTGTCATGTTGGCATGTCTGTATAAATGGTCATGTTAGTATATCTGAATAAATGGACATGTTGGCATTTCTGAATAAATGGTCATGTTGGCATGTCTGAATAAATGGTCATGTTGGCATGTTAATATAAATGGCCATGCTGGTATGTATGGATAAATAGTCATGTTGGCATGACTGAATAAATGGTCATGTTGGCATGTTAATATAAGTGGTCATGTTGGCATGTTAATATAAATGGTCATGTTGGCATGTGAATATAAATGGTCATGTTGGCATGTGAATATAAATGGTCATGTTGGCATGTGAATATAAATGGTCATGTTGGCATGTTAATATAAATTGTCATGTTAGCAAGTCTGTATAAATGGTCATGTTAGTATATCTGAATAAATGGACATGTTGGCATGTCTCTAAATGATCATGTTGGCATGCATGTGATGATGGAATTCTGGTCAATTTGTCCATGGACAATTCATAACAGGCATTTCATGTGAACACTAATCACTCAGTTCTCCAGAACAACATAGTCCAACAACCCCACAGGACCAAACATCCCTGAGGCAAAACCACATGTTGCATTCCTAATGGTCTGATTTTATTTATAAAAAAACCAAAAGCAAAATATAATTGTCATCATGAATTTATGACAGACTGTTAGTAGGTAAGCAAGTATAGTTCTACGCCGCTTCTAACAATATTCCAGCAGCAATATCACGGCAGGGGGCTTCACACATTGTATGCAAGAGGGGAATTGAACCCAGGTCTTCAGAGTGACAAGGAAGTGATTTAACTGCTAGACTATCCACCTCCTTCATGACAGCCTGTCAATAACTGAATGGAGACCAGGTACACCTGTACTGGTAGGTTTCGGAATGTGAACACTGATATGCACACAAAGAAATTAGTGTTCACCATCCTGAACTCACAAGTAGACCGTGTATCATTCTCTGAGTTGTGGCCTCCAACATTGTGAGACAAAGTTAACCGGAGGGAGCAACCATTCAATATTTGTAACAGTGTTACTCGTGTGAAAGAGTTATTTTTCGGTCAACAAATGTTTTTACTAAATGAAGGTGAGTGAGTGTGTGAGTGAGTTGGGTTTTACGCCGCTTTTAGCAATATTCCAGCAATATCAGCGGGGACACCAGAAATAGGCTTCACATATTGTGCCCATGTGGGAATCGAACTCAGGTCTTCAGCCTTAACCACTAGGCTACCCCACTGCCCCAAATGGAGGTGAACAATGAAAGCTTTTTTCAGGATTTTTTTTCTTAGGACATCCAGTATATCTTGCAAACAATGTTTTTCTTCTCGCAAAACCAAAGGCAAAATGTTTGTTTCATAACAACCTGGTCTCGAACGGTCACAGAGCAAATCTTTCTACAATCAATAATAAAAATAATTAATCATTATTTATTGACAATGTACATCAGAGTATTATATAGCCACAGCTGACAAACTGAATAATCACATCAGAATACTGATACAATACAAGATAGGGTTCGCTGGTCACTTTGTCCGTTCTGAGTAGTACACACACAAACACACTGCTTACAAAATACTCTGAAGTGGGAATCGTCTAACTTAATAAATGTATCCAACAGAATGTACCCTTTCTGAGCAGAGGATATTCGATGTAGAACATGAAACTGATTTTAAGAGCATATATGGGGGAGTGAGTGAGTTTAATTTTACGCCACTTTTAGTAATATTCCAGCAATATCACAGCAAGGGATATCTGAAATGGACTTCACACATTGTACCTATGTGGGGAATCACAGCCAGGTCTTTGGCATGAAGAGGGAACGCTTTAACCACTAGGCTACCCCACTGCCCCAAGAGCATACACGGGCATACCCCCTTATATTCAACACTTCTAAGTAACACAGAGTTATTCCCCTTGATAAGGAGATGGCTTCCCAGGCCACCGTTCCAGCATAAATCCTGCTGACAGCCATATTCCCTCTTAAAATCAGTTCCATTTTAAAGGTCATCATTAGCTTTGGATGAGCATACAATAACGCCTCAATACTATCATATTTATGAGACAATGTTCTTGTTACTGATTACGAACAATGACGATATATTTCATGAAAAAAGATGGTCCTTCACAATTGGAGATCTTTGGTAATGTTCATGATTGCTGGATACTCTGTAATTCAAAGTTGCAAAAACAAAAGTGTCACCAAGAACTGGAATTTCCTTCATGTTTGCTCAAGCCTTGAAAATGTTGAAACTTCAAAGAAAATATCAACATTTGAAGTTAAAAATGTTAAGTCAATAGAACATAGTATTTAAAACCATACCATAAGTACTTTTAAAATATCTGGTTCATGTTGGCGTTGTTTTGCAATGTATCACTTACTGACATCAGCTTACATCATGACACAATGACACAAGCCTACACCAGCACAGCCAGCTCTACAGGAAAGTTGAGTCGGAGAGCCCTAACTACCATCATGTCAAATATCTCTACTCAAACCCAGTTACACTAATGACACAGTGAATGAGTTTTAGTTTTACGCCTCGTTTAGCAACATTCCAGCAATATCACGGCGGGGGGCACCAGAAATGGGCTTCACACATTGTACCCATGTGGGGAATCAAACCCGGGTCTTCGGCGGGACAAGTGGACACTTTAACCTCATGGCTAACCCACCGGCCCCATTAATGACATAAATGTTTATACAATCATCACGTTTTCCACTTATAGCTCTGGCTGTCTTTGAAAATACTTCTCAAATGAAGACTTATTTAAACTTCTAACAGGACAACATAAATAGTTCCATGAAAACATATAACCTCAGATTTAACTAAACATATTCTTTGCAGTTATTTTGTGACGTTTTGTGGAAAAACATGAAATCTAAAAGAACAATGGAGAACAGAGGAACCCAACACTAAACATATGTCTGAAACGTCTTAAATTTGCATACAGTTAGGATCTTATTTCAACTCTAATGGAAATTTACCTCAAATCAACAACGCTGACAATTTGTATATTTTTCATATATCTCTTCTGCTTTTGACGACATGATCCAAATTATTCATGCAAAACATACTACTTTCCTAAACTTGGAATAAACTATTTGTTCAGTCAAAATATATACCCTTTGATGTTGTAGACGTACTCTACTGCTTCTTCTGTTTGGGTTTAACTTTCCAATAATACAGTATCTGAAATAAGATGATCCCGTTAAATAGACTGGAAACTACATATGAACAGATGACGAGGAAATCCCCCGTCTCTTGAATGGAGGTAAAGATTCGAGCCAGCGCACCCAGGAACAGCATGGTGACTGTCACGGCTGACAACTGCCCCGTGCTGCTGTTCCGATAGTTCGCAGCTGCCTGGATAATCTGAAAGTTTAGTGAAACAACATTATACTACGTTCAGAAATCTGGATTGACTGTTTGTTTAACATCGCACTCAGCAATATTCCAGCTATATATATTAATCAAGTCTGAACCAGACAATCCAGTGATCAACATCATGAGCATCAAACTACGCAGTTGGGACACGATGACGTGTCAACCGAGTCAGCAAGCCTGACCACCCGATCTCGTAAGTCGCCTCTTATGACAAGCATGGGTTGCTGAAGACCAATTCTAAGAAGGATTTTTATGCGTTCACTGTACTGGACTTTGTTGAGTTTGTGTGACCACAATGGAATGTCTGATTGTCATATCACAGTGTTTTTACTTGCCCAACCTCAAAACTAAAAAGGGACACAAGCAAAGGAATATAAGCAGGCAAGTAACAGAATATAAGCATGCAAGTAACAGAATATAAGCAGGCAAGTAACAGAATATAAGCAGGCAAGTAAAAGAATATAAGCAGGCAAGTAACAGAATATAAGCAGGCAAGTAACAGAATATAAGCAGGCAAGTAACAGAATATAAGCAGGCAAGTAACAGAATATAAGCAGGCAAGTAACAGAATATAAGCAGGCAAGTAACAGAATATAAGCAGGCAAGTAACAGAATATAAGCAGGCAAGTAAGTAACAGAATATAAAAGTAGGCAAGTAACAGAATATAAGCAGGTAACAGAATATAAGGCAAATAACAGAATATAAGCAGGCAAGTAACAGAATATAAGCAGGCAAGTAAAAGAATATAAGCAGGCAGAAGTAACAAAATAAAAAGTAATATAAGTAACAGAATATAATAGGCAAGAGTATAAAGAATATAATAAGAGCAAGTAACAGAATATAAGCAGGCAAGTAAAAGAATATAAATAACAGAATATACAGGCAAGTAACAGAATATAAACAGGCAAGTAACAGAATATAAGCAGGCAAGTAACAGAATATAAGCAGGCAAGTAACAGAATATAAGCAGGCAAGTAAAAGAATATAAGCAGGCAAGTAAAAGAATATAAGCAGGCAAGTAACAGAATATAAGTAGGCAAGTAACAGAATATAAGCAGGCAAGTAAACAGAATATAAGCAGGCAAGTAAAAGAATATAAGCAGGCAAGTAAAAGAATATAAACAGAATATAAGCAGGCAAGTAACAGAATATAAGCAGGCAAGTAACAGAATATAAGCAGGCAAGTAACAGAATATAAGCAGGCAAGTAACAGAATATAAGCAGGCAAGTAAAGAATATAAGCAGGCAAGTAACAGAATATAAGCAGGCAAGTAACAGAATATAAGCAGGCAAGTAACAAACAGAATATAAGCAGGCAGAAGTAAGTAACAGAATATAAGCAGGCAAGTAAAAGAATATAAGTAACAGGCAAGTAACAGAATATAAGCAGGCAAGTAACAGAATATAAGCAGGCAAGTAACAGAATATAAAGCAGGCAAGTAGAATATAAGAATATAAAGAATATAAAGAAGCAAGCACAAGTAAAAGAATATAAGCAGGCAAGTAAAAGAATATAAGCACAAGTAACAGAATATAAAGCAGAAAAAGAATATAACAGAATATAAGCAGGCAAAACAGAATATAAAAGAATATAAGCAGGCAAGTAACAGAATATAAGTAAAGGCAAGTAAAAGAATATAAGCAGGCAAAGTAACAGAATAAAAGAAGGCAAGTAAGTAAGAATATAAGCAGGCAAGTAACAGAATATAAAGGCAAAGTATAACAGAAATAAGAGGCAGTAAAGGCAAGTAACAGAATATAAAGGCAAGTAACAGAATATAAGTAGGCAAGAAACAGAATATAAGCAGGCAAGTAACAGAATATAAGCAGGCAAGTAAAAGAATATAAACAGGCAAGTAAAGAAATGTGAATAGGCAAGTAAAGAAATGTGAATAGGCAATCAGGGGAATGTGAACAGGCAATCAGAGGAATGTCAACCTTCAAGGAAAGTAATGTGAATGGGAATGGGAATCAGGAATGTCAACCTTCAAGGAAAGTAATGTGAACAAGCAAGCAGAGGCATGTGAACAGGTAAAAAGTTGAATGTCAATGGACAAGTAAATGTACAAAAACTGGCAATTTAAGGAATGTGAAGAGAAGAAAGTAAAAAAGTATGTGGCCTGCCTGAGTTTGGTTTTACGCCGCTTTTATCAATATTCCAGCAACATCACGGTGGGGGACACAAGAAACGGGCTTCACACATTGTACCCATGTGGGGATTCGAACCCGGGTCTTCGGCGTGACGAGCTAACGCTTTAACCACTAGGCTACCCCACCGCCCAAAAAGTATGTGGAAAAAGGATGTGTACAGGCATGTAAAGTAATGAACTCCACGTTTCTTGTATCACAAGAAATCCTGTTAGTAATGTACTGATACTACTGTAAATGAATGAACTGTTAACTATCATCACCTTGCTTATGGCAATAATAAGGGAGTTGGCAGCTTGCAACATCGACAGTAACGGCATCGGTGCCATCGGGGATAGGAGGTAGATCATGCTGAAAGCGTACACGGTGACGTAGATGATGGCCACTGGCGTGTTGCCGTTGTAGAACAGCACCAGCATCGCAATAAGAGCTGTCTGGAACGCCAGGAACACTGCCTCCCCATAAGCACTGCAACAGATTGAACAAATGATCAGCTGAGAGACATGCTTTCTTTGTATAATGTTTACATCTGCTCTCAATATTCAAACCTCACAGAAGTGGCTTGTAAACAATTCATACAAGCAGCGTCCTGCATCATCTGCTTGTGGTGAAATGAACTCAAATAGGGCTGGTTGTCGACATCCTGACCTAGAACTTCACAAGATTATACACGTCCATTATCTATACCTGTACAACCTCATGATTTACTAAATATCGATTGAAAATATCACTAAATAGAGGAGAAACAACTTCCAGCAAAACTGAACAAGCATCATCAGAAACTGGCTAATCCCCTGGTCCCCACAAATTTGAAAGGACAAATCATCTGAATGTTACTTAAAATCCAACTTGATGACAGAATTTCTGTCTGATCTATCTGTCTGTATACAAGAGTAGTCATTGAGCTATCCAAACAACAACATGGAACTGGGTACTTCTTTGTATTTCTTTGTCAGGTGCATACCAATATTAAATTTAAAAAAAACAATATGAATTTAAAAATCCCTAATAGCAAAAAGCAGCAGCTGACAATCTTGTTTTTGTTTGTGGACACTTTCATGAAAGAATACCTAGTACAGGCCTACCAAAGAAAACTTTCCCACTGGGCAGAAAAACGCAGAAAACTCCACATTAATCGTGGAAATAGCAACATAAACATAATACCTCGCTACTGAACCAGTAAAAACGGCAACTTTAAATCACTTACACTGCATTATAAAACGAGGAGCCCGCAACTTCGATTTTGCGCATGCGGACATGGAAGAGGAAGTCTCGATCGCATGTTGACATTTTCCAGCTTGGACATTCCTTTTTAACTATTTCAATTGTGTTATTTGGCATTTATCATCATGATACTTGTGTGCACACTTGTTTAGTTTACTTTCCATTTGTATGAAACGATTGACAGCAATTATTTCAACATATGTAATACTTTTTCTATGGGAGGCGATTCAGGGTTGCTCGGAAAGAAGCCCGGATCGTAATGCGCATGCACAGTAGAGGTCAAAGTTCGCTGATATAAAAATGTTGCAGTTTCATAGTTTTTCGTTGCCGTTTTTACTGTTTCAGTAGCAAGGTAATGTGTTTATGTTGCTATTTCCACAATTAATGTGGGCTTTTCTGCGTTTTTCTGCACAGTGGGAAAGTTTTCTTTGGTAGGCCTGTAGTACTCTTTCAACATCTGGTCTTTACAAACACAACACTATGAAAAGAGTCAAAATCAAACTTGCTGCTATGGGAACAGAAAAAACCAAGTAGCACAGGACACCATTTGACAACCTGGTTTCATGAAAGAATACCTAATAGTTTCATAGATATGGTCTGGACAAACACATCGCTATGAACAGAGTCAAAATCAAGCTTGTTCCCATGGAAACATGAAACAAATTCATTTTCCTAAAATTCCTAAATACCAAAAACCACCACTTCCTTACTAAATGCACTCAGTTTGGGAGCTCCGGAAACTAAATCCAACCCTCCTTTCAGAACCAAGTCCAAATTTTCTTCACGGTTTTTCAAGTTGTGCTCCAGAAACATCCAAAATTGTTTCCAAGGAAAATGAAGAAAAATAACCAACACACGCACGCACGCACGCACTCACGCACGCACACACACACACATGGTGGGATGAAAAGTAAAGTCCCTTTTCACCACTGAGAGTCAAGCTTTTTGAATAGGCCAGATAGAATATATCCCAACCGAAGTACTAACAAAAAACTAGAATTTAATATGTATTATTCCCTGGATTCAATCAGTAAATATTACCTCTGTAACAGATCCACTACAAAACAAATATGATAATATCACGAATATTGGATTACTAATCCAAATATTGGGTAATGAATACAAGAATACATCAGCAGTGGATATACTATTCATTATGTTCATTTGGGCTGGCTATTGATATATATCATAGAGATCAATAATCGTTACATGAATATCGATTGATTATCCATATATATCGGTGAGGTAACTTTGCGCAAAAGTGACTAAAAAATGAAAGAATCAACACATTTCGCATCAGTGGTGAGTGGTGACATATTAAGGCTAATGGACTACTAGCCAAACTTTGTGTATTTGCATAATTTTTTTAATTATTTCATCACAATAGTTCATTTACAATTTCATCAATTACACAATATTCATATCGAAATCATTACTAATGATTTCTATCGACAATATTACTGATTGTCAATCTTTGTACATTTTTCATTATATTCAGTGAATGAGTAAGGTTTTATTGCGCGTTTAGCAATATTCCCGTGATATCACAGCAGGGGGCAGGGGACAACAGAACTGGGCTTCACACATAGTACCAGTGAAACATGACAAAATATATTTTTTTACATGTTTTGACTGATGTTGAACAAACTTTACGGCCAACAACTTTTATTTCATAAGCATGACACTTCGATACAGATCCTTGTACAAGAATCTGTATCGAAACGTCGCACTCACGAAATAAAACAAGTTGTTATCCATAAAGTTTGTTCAATATTGTACATCCCAACTTCTAAAATGCCAATCAAAGAAATGTTTCGACCATGCTGATTTAGCATGATTAACACTGACGAGTGACCACATCATTGCCAAATAAAATATACAAGAGTGTTGACTATATCCTGTTCGGCTTGGATACATTCCATCTGTGATAAATAATCAAATTCAAATGAAAACGCTCCTTTATAATAAATTCATAAATACTTGACTTTAGTGACTGTGAAAAATTAATTGAATTCATGCAGGGAAACAGTTAGATTCCCCAAACCATAACTGCCCTAGGAAACAAACGGTTGTAAAGACAAACAGGCATGAAGTCACACTAGACACACTTCCAGACTATGCATAGTTAATTGGGTATGGTGAATTATGATGCAAATTTTACACATATTCACAGCTTACCTGGAGCTTTATCAACATATGACTTTTTGAAAGCAATGAAATGTAAAACATTTTAAAACGTTGGTCTGTCAGGCAGGAGGTGAAACGTATTACTAAACCATGGAATATTTTAACTTTGCAATTAACATGATAAAGAAATCATTATTGTAATTTGAATGTTTGAATTTATTAACACTCTCAGATATGACAGGTAGGGCTGCTCAATATAACCGGTTTACCGGTATTTACCGGTTCAGACATGAAAACGATACGAATTGCGATACGCTGATCAAAAAACGGTATTTTGACTTGCATTCGGAAAACTTCGTAAAACTCGAAAATCTTCGGATTTTTCCTTTTTTCATTAGTGCCAAATATTCTTCACATTTTTATTTTTAATCATGAATAAAAGTTGTTATTAAAGCTTAATCAAGCCTAGTGATTTTGCTGTGTATTTGCTCTATAAATCAAGCATTACCTCGATTATAAGTAGTTTTTTGTTTAAAAATACTTCATGCAATATATTGCAATACATATCGCAATATATGCTTTCGCATCGCAATATAACGCAATATGAAAATTCTCTGCAATACCCACTCCTAATGACAGGCCATATTGAAACAGCTGATTTGGAGAAAAATCGGCACTTAGGGACATCAATCAACATGATGAACTGGACAGTTCATTATACATCTGTTCGACTGACTGGACAAAAAATTAAAAATTAATATTTACAATGTTGCTGTTTTGCCTTGTAATCAATAGTATCCAAAAGCACATCTGTTACCACGGTAACAACAGGTGATAATAATCTGATAAGCTGCATTAGAATAATCACTCATGATATATATACAACATTTGACAGCTTGTGAATGTTGATAATTTGGTATCATCCATTCAGGGAGGTGAGTGAGATTTAGTTAAAACTATATTGTGTTCATACAGTTCTAGGAGGTATATTTGTATTAGCTCTGTAAAAATGAATGAGTGACTTTAGTTTTACCCCACTTTTAGCAATATTCCAGCAACATCATGCCAGGGGACACCAGAAATGGGTTTCACACATTTTGCACATGTGTGGAACTGAACCCGGGTCTTCAGCATGATGAGCGAACGCTTTAACCACTGGGCTACCCCACCACCCAAGTTCTGTAAAAAAAAGTTGTGTTAATATAATATTCTGAAAACATTTTTATCAATGTACTTTTTAATAATTTAACTTTAAGTTAACAATGTAATTTTCTGGTCCATATGTTCTGAAAAGTCTAAGGGACTTATAAGTAAAAGCTTTTTCAACCAATCAGGTATCCTCTGCATCTTCAGGACTTGTATTTCAGTAAACCTAAATTAACCCCTGACACTTCTCAATCTAACAGACTAATCTGGGTCTCAAGATGGTAGATCGATGCTCATGCTGTTGATCACTGGATTGTCTGGTCTCTGCCACAGGCCAGAATGATGTGACGATTAGTCACATCTTACACAGTCCATTCAATATAATGTACATATTTCTTAGCTCTTTTATTTTTGATGAGTCTACACATCAAATTAAACATCAATGTTAGAATGGTTTAGTTTCACTGAGAAAATATCCTAAAACGTGTAACACTATTTCGATTTGAGCAGCGATCCTTTGTTACATGAGTTGTACGACTCGACACGCTGTCATCGAAGCTTTATGGACAGCAAAGAGTCCAGCCCCTTTGATATATAAATGCGTATTATCATAAACCTTACTGTCGCAGTTGTAGAAGATTATTTATGCAACAATGTAAAGCATTATGAAGACCGCGCGGACAGTATCTTCTTACTTACGAATATGTTCGTTTGTTTACAAACAAGAGAAAAGTCTGGTCACATGATATGCAAATTAGCCTGAGGCAGTGATGTTAAGCGAAGTCATCACTGCGCCCGAGTGTGGACTCTTACATAAACTCCTCATGCAAAATGTTATCAATGCAATGAAACAATAAATATGCAAACTAGGTCCAACAACCTGAACAACTTTTAGTTAACTCCCTAGAAAGCTCTGAAGGGGGTAACTTACTTTGTTCATAAATTCTAGGGGGATAATTCACATTCTGCATGCGTAAAGGTCACATGCAACCAAAAAATCAAACATAATTAAAACACAATTATCACTTATTCATGACATATAATATACATTGCTGGTTATGAAAAAACATATAAACAAAATTATAAGCGTACAATCGCACATCAAAAGTGCAATATTGTGTACTTCAGTTTACTTCCCAAGAAACGAAGCAGCCGGGATACCGAACCCAGTCAGAGCGGGTGGGTGTGCACTCAAGTGTAACGGCTGGTTCATTTGCAGATGCCCTCACGGGTCATTGTGTGTGTATATATAGAGATGTTGGGTTTTGTAAATACATGCTCATTTTTTGTGTATAACATTTTGCAATCAACATCATAACATGTCATGTGTTCAAGTATCACACCTGCCTGTCTGTGTAATTACATAATGTGAGAGAGACCGAACTCGGGCCATAAATCAATGCATTTTGTTTATGGTGTACAGCCTGATTGGTGTTAAGTTCAAATTGCATGTGGTCAGTGATAGCAAGTGCTATAAGCGCAGCCCAGCTGTTGAAACCTGTTTTCCCCAGAAAAGTCGGGGGAAAATTAGTGAAACGTTTGAACTCCGATTTCGCGCTTTTTTTTTCATCGCGTTATTTTTCAACTTTATAAGTTGAATTTGCATTTTTGACGATTTGTTTCGGTAAGTCCATACCGAAAGGTATCAGAATCTGCAAAGTTGTGTTTTACGTTGCATGTGACCTTTAAGCTTCTCCATAAAAATCATCATCACCCCCACAAGTCATAAATAATGAACGGTCCCTAAATTATGTTCAGGATGCTATTCCATGCAAAACATGTCACCACTCACAAGTGATGTCAAACATATTCATTTATTTCGAACTTTTTGCTGGAAGGTACGTCTCCGATACTTATCGATTGATATTTAGTCAACAATTATCGATGTATGGTATATCAATAGTCTGCCCTATCTGGGAGTCGGGACAGTCCAAAGTGCCAATACTTCACAAGATTATACACGTACACCAGCGTTTAAAATTCCTGCCTGCCTGACCATCCGGAACGGTCTATTTTCATCTCGGACGGTCATATTTCAAAAGTAGCCTGTCCGGTGGTCAGGTAGAAATGTTTACCCCTAAGAGTAAATATTTCATAATATCAGACAGGTTCTCGTGTCGTCAGTTTGAGGTGTTTAAGGTATTATGATAATTATGTTAAACTACACGCGATTGTACAGTTCATGTTACGATAACTAATCATAACACATGTACTTTCAGTTTACCTAAACTCGGTGCATTGCTAGTTAGTGCTATTAGTTTATTGTGATGCCTACAAACAGTGAATGGAGCTTGCGTGAGTTTGAAATGGCAGTAACAGTTTTTTATCGTTGAAAACCGGACAGGCACGTTTGTATCCGGATTGGTAATTTTTTAAAGTTACCAGTCCGGCTGTCTGGCTTGGAATTTTGGGAGTTTTAAACACTGCGTACAGTATCTATGCCTGTACGACTTCATGATTTACCTGAATGGAAATTTGAGAGCATATCCGTAAGCCCATGTTGAGGATATGGCGATGATCTCACATGTGATGGAGTAAAGGTTGATGCCCTCCCCACTTCGGGCGCCCAGAATCTTCACCACCTGGGGAACCTTCACTGGAAACAATCAGGTTTATTATGCAACCAGAAACATATACATATTCTCTAACTTGGGTTATCTTAAAACCATTAAAGGCATTAGATTTATGTAAAAAAAAGGGAAACTCTAACTGGGAAAAAGGGGTAGAATTTTTGAAATTTCTTCTGTAATAATATATATATTTGAGAGGGGACAACATGGATGAGTGACTCAGCGAGTTTTGAAAGTGAGTTTTGAAAAAGTGTGTGAAAGAGAGTGAGTGAGTGTGTGCAAGAGTGAGTGAGTGTGTGCAAGAGTGAGTGAGCGAATAAGTTGACCTAAAGGTTTCGGAAAACTGCGCATTAACCATGTGATTCATGACAATGACTTCTACAAATAGAACTCAATGTCTGATAAACAGTGAAGGAATATAATCAGGTAAAATCGGAACAGGAAGACTAAACGTCTGATGACTTATTCCAAGTCTGATATATGTGATATATATTCATTTTAAACATAAAAAGTGTATCACAGCCGATAAGGCAGATGTTGTTGACAGACACCTGACAGATGGTGTTACAAAGACTGGCAATTTTGCATCATCTGATCAATAGGTTTGCCTATATCAGTATCCTAAGGCCGCCATGACAGTTCCATGAATTCACCAACATTTGATAGGAAATTTCTCTACATCATTTCCAAATAAAAAACAATTCCATAGACATTTTGTATCATATTCCATCCATGTCCTTAAAATTGAATCAATCTAAGCCATGTCTACACATTCATGAAACAAATATGTCTACAATGTCGTATCATGTTATAGAACAATTCCATACATAATGATACAGAACTTTCTATACATTAGCAAGATGACCACGAGTGGGTGGGCCAGTTTTATGCTGTATTGTGGTTTCAGATCACAGACAACCATTAAAGAAGTCATACCTTCAGGCACTGGGAACTTATCTTAACTGGGCCATTATAATTATAATTGAATTTTAGCAATGTCCTTTGTCCCGAAACACACAGGCTTTTTTAAACACACAGATCTTCCATTCTGCTTGTTGGCAGTTTTATGAGTGACCCTCAGAATTCAGTTCAATAAAATCGATTTGATACGCAAACAATGATAGTTTTCGTAAGATCTTCATTAATTTAGTTATTTCTTTCAATGCATGTTAATAACTGTATGTTACAGTGAATAAATCATAAGCGAGAATCATGGTGACTCACAGTATTTATTTTTGGGAGTCATTTCAATATTTGGGAGTCATGAAAATTTCAGTGTGATATTTATGTGTGTATATCAAAATTGTACTGTTTTCTGTTGTATTGTCATTTATATGTTAGTTAATAAATAGTATATTTTTTCACAGTTCAGTTCAGCCATAACAAACTCCAGTATACTGAACAAATAATCAGTTTTTCCCAAATCTGTGTAAAACCCTGACTAAAACAGCTCTCAGAATCCAGATAGATTACCAGTGACATACACCAGCCGATGGACTGTCAGGTCAAATGTCCTAGCCTTTATATGGACTATTTGCTCAAACATCAAAGACTATTCACTCAAATATCACAGACTATATACAGGCTATTTGCTCAAATATCACAGACTATTTGCTCAAACATCACAGGCTATATACAGACTATGCACTTAAACATTTGGAGACATGTCAAATCAGACAAATTAATGAAACTTGGTTGCCTGGTCAAGCTGAATGCCTGCAGCTGGCTTCAGTTATCTACAGGCTCTGAGATCAATATTCAATCGTTATAATATGCGATAAATAATATAAAATCTGCAGTCAATGTCATTAAAATGTCCCAATATGAATTTGAAGTTTGTCGATTTATGTTATACAGATGTAAAATAAAAAGCTACCTTTAAGGCCTTGCAGAAATAGCCTGTATTTCACTGAAAACTGGGGCAGTGGGGTAGCCTAATGGTTAAAGCATTGGCTCGTCACGCCGAAGTCCCGGGTTCGAATCCCCATATGGGCACAATGTGTGAAGCCCATTTCTGGTGTCCCCCGCCGTGATGTTGCTGGAATATTGCTAAAAGCGGCGTACGAGTAAAACCAAACTCAGTCAGTCAGTCACTGATAACTAGACGAGAGAAAATGGAAGGAATGTTTTGATATATTAATGCACTGGATGCATTTAAAATACAAAATTAGCCCTTTATCTGAACTTGACAAATTCATTATTTTTCCAGTTGGAGTGAGTTGGATTCCACATTACTTTTTAGCGATATTCCAGCAATATCACGTCAGGGTATACCAGAAACTGACACATTGTTGTTAACATGTGAGGAATCAAACCTGGACTCTCGGCGTGGCAAGCAAATGCCTTGATCACTAGGCTACCCAACTGCCCCTTTTCCAGTTTGCTTGCCAGGGTGCCAAGTTTAGTATCCTGGACTAAGCCCTGAATGTCTCACCGATACAGGATCCAGCGATGATGGCAAACCCCAGACATTTACTTATGGCAATCTTCAAACACGGTCCTGAAAATAAGACAAAAACAAATACAGAATGATATACTATGTTGGCAATGGATTATAACTATTTGTTATCCTAGAATTGTTTCGAAAAAGCAACATACAAATTATGACTGTATAACATAAATAATAATAAATGATTAAGAAGATATCTTAAACTGATATTCTAAATGTCTGCTTATACATTCCATGTAAACATGTCCTGCCCCTTAATATTCACACTCCCCCTAACATTCCTTGCTGTCCCCACACCCCTGAAGGAATGATGTTGATGATTTAGAAATAGCTCATGAAAAAAGATTTGATCTTGTGTACAGTACTGTGTTAGTAAATTAAAACTACATTTCATCACAAAAGTTTATGCATGACTTTATCAATGCCACAGTTTTCAAATCGATAGTCATTAACAATTCTTCCCATCAATATTTCTGATTAATCGATCCTTTTAGCCAGCCTTACTCAGTACACATGTACCAGTTCATACAGTTAATTCAGTCAGAGCCTGAGCCAGTGGAATAGTTGTGTAACGATACTTCAATACACTACAGTATACATATCGTATCGCAGCCTCGTGCATCTTTACACTAGTTCAGCCAGCTAAACGTGGTAGGAACACGACGTTTAGCTGGCTGAACTATCTTTACACCTATACATTCAAAAATATTTTGTCTAAAAGATCCAGTGCCTCACAACAGAGACTGGGGTAACAAGACTAATCCTAACCCAAGTAACCCAAGGGTCAAAGAGGCACACATAAGAAGATTCTATTGTTGCACACATTCTGCCAGTTTCGCTATTTGAGGAATCAAATCAGATTAACAATAATACACACGTTCTTTTGCTGCGTCTAGTAATCTGGTATTCTAACAGATCAATAACCAAGGTTAAGCAGGTGTCAGAAACATAATCGGATTATATATTTCCGCTGAGACCATCTATTAATCATACTATTTCTTGTGTGGTTAACGTATGTTATAAGCTGTGTTTATTCGCGCTACGGCGAAATGTTTTGCGGACATTGATCGTTTGTATTTAAAATAAAGTCGTCTTTTGTAAGATAGTAACACGTGTTAAAGTTGTCCATGCGATTAGCGAGAAATCAACGGATCATCATATGTCCCTGTAAGGGTTCAAACACAGGATGATAATGAATATGCATGGTTGTTCTTGACGCCACTGCAAAACAAACATCACAAATGTGGTTTCATACGTGAATGAGTTACATAGAGAGTAAAAGCTTGGTTTCTAGTCATGAACAATACGCTATGTGCACTTTGAACATCCCGATTGTGTCATACAATGTGTGCATGATTGACACGTTTCAAAGTGTCTCGTGTCGATCTACGATTAAAGAGGGAAAACATCACACCATTCATTTCGAATTATCAACATACCGTCCAGAAAGTCAAAGTCGATGAAGAATTTGTCGAAGCATGGCTGCGGCACAATAAGTTGAACCCAACTGACAAGAAAAGTTGGAATGATGCTCGAGTTCACCATTTTCAAGCAGACACCGGAAATGAACTGAGAGTTGTCCGCCCCTTCGTGAAGAGTTAGCTTTCCCTACGTGACCTACTTTTAACAGGTAGGCACAAATATACATTTAGATACTTTGCGTTGGTGGGTATTATTTGAGCAATTCTACCAAAATACTCATGTAAATTGTCAGTGTGTGTTCATCGGTATTTGGACAATGCAAGTAAAAGTGCGCCCAAAACATGGAATCCTAACATCTGGCCAGAGTGCCTTCCACAGGATAGGGCGATATATTATACGAATGCTTCTCACAATATTTTCAATTTATATATGCATCGATTGTTGCAAATAGCAGCACATGTTCCTTTCATCGCATATTTTTCAACACACGCCCGCTCCTAAAAATGTCGTTATTGCATAGATTTCATAGATAGTCTCGCACTGCACAAGAATATATCTAATAATACAGATGTTGTCCGATATTAATCCAGTTATTACCCCCGGCATGTAATGCGGGGGCATATAGTCGTCGCCTCGTCCGTCCGTCCGTAATCATTTTGTTTCCGGAGCATAACTCCAAGACCATTCGATATTTTTCAACAAAAATTTGTAGATATATCGAACAGAACCTAAGGTGGTGCCTTTTGCTATTTACAGATTTTTGGCATTTTTATTTTTCTCAGTTTCCATGGAAACGTTTTGGACTTAGGCTCAAAAAGGAGGGGTAGGTTTCCTTTCCGGAGCACAACTCAGAAACCGTTCAGTATTTTTCTGCAAAACTTGGTAGATATATCAACAGAACCCAAAGTGGTGCCTTTTGCTATTTACAGATTTTTGTGATTTATTATTTTCTTGGTTTCCGTGGAAACGATTCGGACTTAGTCTCAAAAAGGAGGGGTGGGTTTCGTTTCCGGAGCACAATTCGAAAACTTCTTAATATCTTTCAGCAAAACTTGGCAGCTATGTGAGGCAGATCCCAAAGTGGTGCCTTTTGCTCTTTACAGATTTGTGTCATTTGTATTTTTCTTGGTTTCCATGGAAACGATTCGGACTAAGTCTCAAAAGGGAGGGGTAGGTTTCGTTTCCGGAGCACAACTTGAAACCGTTCAATATCTTTCAACAGTACTTGGGAGATATATGAGACAGATATTGAAGTGATGCCTTTTGCTATTTACAGATTTTTGTAATTTTTATTTTTCTAGGTTTCCATGGAAACGATTTGAACTTAGTCTCAAAAGGGAGGGGTGGGTTTCGTTTCCGGAGCCTAACGCGAAAACTTCTTAATATCTTTGAACAAAACTTGGCAGATATGTGAGGCAGATCTTGAAATGGTGCCTTTTGCTGTTTACATATTTTTGGCATTTTTATTTTCTCAGTTTCCATGGTTCCGGAGCATAACTCCAAAACCGTTCGATATTTTTCAACAAAATTGGTAGATATATCAAACAGAACCTAAAGTGGTGCCTTTTGCTATTTACAGATTTTGTCATTTATTATTTTCTTGGTTTCCATGGAAACGATTGGACTTAGTCTCAAAAGGAGGGTGGGTTTCGTTTCCGAAGCATAACTTAAAAAACAGTTCAATATCTTTCAACAGTACTTGTGAGATATATGAGACAGATCTTGAAGTGATGCCTTTGCTATTTACAGATTTTTGTCATTTATATTTTTCTAGGTTTCCATGGAAACAATTTGAACTTAGTCTCAAAAGGGAGGGGTGGGTTTCGTTTCCGGAGCATAACGCGAAAACAGTTCAATATCTTTCAACAGTACTTGTGAGATATATGAGACAGATCTTGAAGTGATGCCTTTTGCTATTTACAGATTTTTGTCATTTTTATTTTTCTAGGTTTCCATGGAAACGATTTGAACTTAGTCTCAAAAGGGAGGGGTGGGTTTCGTTTCCGGAGCATAACGCGAAAACTTCTAAATATCTTTCAACAAAACTTGGCAGATATGTGAGGCAGATCTTGAAATGGTGCCTTTTGCTGTTTACATATTTTTGGCATTTTTATTTTTTTCAGTTTCCATGGAAACGTTTTGGACTTAGTCTTAAAGGTAGGGGTGGGCTTCGTTTCCGGAGCATAACTCAGAAACCGTTCAGTATTTTTCTGCAAAACTTGGTAGATATATCAAACAGAACCAAAGTGGTGCCTTTTGCTACTTACAGATTTTTGTGATTTATTATTTTCTTGGTTTCCATGGAAAAGATTCGGACTTAGTCTCAAAAAGGAGGGGTAGGTTTCATTTCCGGAGCACAACTCGAAAACTTCTTAATATCTTTCAGCAAAACTTGGCAGATATGTGAGGCAGATCCCAAAGTGGTGCCTTTTGCTATTTGCCGATTTTTGTCATTTATGTTTTTCATGATTTCCATGGAAACGATTTGCACTTAGTCTAAAATCAAGCTGGACTTTAAGTAACTGTCAGATGATTTGTTCTTTCAAAGATGTGGGGGCCGTGGGGATATGTCATCTTCTGATGACTCTTGTATTAAAATTGTTAACGTATAGAAAAATACAAGATATATATCAAAACCGTCGTTTTCAGACGTGTTCAATGAATGATGCTTGCTATATATAAGTTACATGCGACATGTGCACCTCAGTAAGAGTATCAATAACAAACTTGGATGATTTCTACAAATAAGGATTAAATTAAAATGGTAAACTTCCATTGAGAAACAAAATATAAACTCCGTGTTTTCAATGCAGGGCGAATAATACTATGTTGTTTTTTTTCAAGTATAGTTATTCCAAACGTTACATTTTAGTACGAAGTAGTTGAAAAGACGAAGTGGGACATTTGGTAGCGAAGAGTTTATCATCAAATTCCTTTATACCCATAATACCACTTGAAGTCTGTCTCACAATCCCCGATCCGCACTATTTCCGCTGCCGCCCGGCCCTTTCTTGTTGTCAAGAAATTCTCGCGACAAATTTGAATATGCCGCCACTTTTCATGAAGAGTTGAAGGCGAATAGTTTCCTAGTACTTTTGTTTTTGAAATCAATCAGATTTTTCATCTCCATGATTTAGAAAATAAGACATTTTGTGCTTGCATTCCTGTATTGAGGCTCGGGGGCCGAATTGGCTGGGGTCAGGTAGCAAATGTCATTCTAATTCATGGTTCGTAACCCGTGAAGGTCCGGGTTAGAATGAACCTTCAGTAACCCATGCTTGTCGTAAGAGGGGACTAACGGGATCGGGTGGTCAGGCTGACTTGGTTGACACATGTCACCGGTTCCCAATTGCGCAGATCCATGCTCATGCTGTTGATCACTGGATTGTCTGGTCCAGACTCGATTATTTTCGGACCGCCGCCATATACCTGGAATATTGGTGAGTGCGGCGAAAAACTAAACTCACTCACTCACTCATGGTTCGTATGCAAGGAATGGAAAATATTTATAACAAACCTTGGCGCTGGCATGTTATGTAATTGTGTGGGAGACTCATCTGAGACAAAACAGCTAGGTAATGAAGATTGTTGCAAAGACCTAATTCAGTGATGCCTTTCGCTTCACAACACTTGTCTCCTGTAGTTGAACCAGGAAACATGGGGTCATGCGGACCAACCCGTGAAGATGCGGATTAGAATTAATCTTCAGTAACCCATGCTTGTCGTACAAGGCGGCTAACAGGATCGGGTGGTCATGCTGTTGATCACTGGATTGTCTGGTCCAGACTCGATTGTTTACAGACCGCCGCCATATAGCTGGAATATTGCTGAGTGCGGCGTAAAACAACAACGATACAAACAAATCATGTGGGCCAGTACTGGAACCTCAGTAATTATCAGCATATTATATGACGTCACAGGAATTTCCTGTGTATGGTCGGTTATGGCCCGGGGAAGCGAAATTTGGACCAAACCTCCTCAATTTAGGTGTCGCTTACGCGGGAACGGTCAAGCTTCAGTGAACACTGAATTTAGCGTTCCCGGTACTCTCAATACCTAGAAAAACAAAGAAATGTGTGTCCTCGGCTGATACCGTAGTCATGGTAGAAATTTAATTTAATGTTGTCGTCGGTGCGATGGAGGAAGGGTTCTCCTGCTTCGGTCAAGATCCACTCTCCCTCAAGCTGAATCACACGCCGGGTGGCAGGAAGTCTAGGAATGGTCTTGTGCCGCTGTCTGTAGAGAATGGTCTTGAGTGTTGCGAAGGAAGGTATTTCCTCCAGCAGGTCGTCGCTTTACCGGGAATAGGGAATGTTGAAATTTCGCTTCCCCGGGCCTACACCACATGGTCATCAACGAACCCGGATGTTAGTTGAAAAGGCTGCAACAGAGTAAGGATTACATTCGCGGTCAGTTTCTACAGTAACCTAAATATCCGATAAGTTTTATCCCAGCCAGATCTATGAGATGTAAATCCAGCCAATCAGATCTTAAGAATCTCAAGGTATTAACCAAGCGCAATGTGGCATAAATTGGCTTTCGTGTGTATTTGGATCGAGCCCTCAGTACAGGATAAGCTGTTGAGATGTGCTTATATCATCACAACTGAGGTTGGAAGGTAAACTTTTATTGCTTTTGTCAGGGACAAATTAAAAAAATTATCGTCGACGGTAATGCAACAGCGAATTTTTGAGAAATTTGAAAAATCGTAAGCCCTTAGACCGTAGCTGGCATCGCACGACCACCGCACGAAAGCCGCATGGTGATCGTGCGGTAAACGCGCGATGTTTTAGTTAAAAAATATCTTACAGCGATCGTAAGATATCCGCACGGCCATCGGACGGCAACCGCGCGATGACCGTGCGGCCTCCGTGCGGTGCCCGTGAAATCGCGCGGACATTGCACGGTCAACCCACGGCAGCCGCATGATGGCCGTGAGACAGCCTTGCGATGGACCGATCATTTTTTTTACCATGGTATATTCATTGGCAATCCCTAGCAGTTCTATCATTTGTCTCGGTTCATGAGAAGTCCAAGACAACAAGATGGTAAACCGATCTCCGCTCAGTCTCCGCTGCGGACGTAGCACGGGCACCGTATGATGTCTAAGCAGTATAAGATCTCCGTGTGATCTCCGTACGATTTCTGTGCAGCCTCCATGCAGGTTTGCCTCAGCTTGTGGCCCAAGGAAATCGCACGATGCCCCAAGACAATCTGAACACAAACGTCGTAGCCCGCGGTCACCCACGATGCCTAAAACATCGTACGGAAAATCGTATGGACTACTTTATCGTACGGCGCCCGTGGCAAATGTGATCCAGGTCTTAGAGGTGGACCATGAAACGGACTACATTCTTCTCATCCACCATGTCACCATTTGGCAAACCGTCTATAGTTCGAAGTGTGAAGTTCGAGGCCATGACGACCGTTACATGTGATTGATATATGTAAAAAGTCGTTACCTGCTGCAAAAACGATTTGAGTAGAAAACCTAACAGAACTAACACTAAAAAATGATAGAGAGAGGGAAAGCTTTAGGTGAGTGTGTCTAGAAATTTACAAAAGAATATTATTAAGCAAACAAGCCTATAACAGCATACCAAACTGTTGTGGACAGTCAGTTGTTTCACACGATGAGTCACTGCACGTGACGGGAACATACCTGTACTAATCTAGGTATGTGGGTAAACATGTTATCATACTGTCTGGACGGATTCCATGCGTAACTGTATCGCATCCGTGTAGATAATAAGCGTCTACCCAGAGAGCAAAAGGTCGGTGTCATGTGCCAAGACAGGTCAAAAGGTAAGTGGGTGAGTTTAGTTTTACGCCTCACTCAGCAATATTCCACCTATATGGAAATAATGGAGTCTGGACCAGGCAATCCAGTGATCAACATCATGAACATCGATCTGGGCAATTGGGATGCGATAGCATGTGTTCACCAAGTCAGCGAGCTTGACCACCCGATTCCGTTAGTCGCCTCTTACGACAACATGGGTTGCTGAAGACCAATTCTAACCTCGCACTTTGAGGGCAGCCCCATACGGAGGAACTTGTTATTATGATGCATACATTGATTGTAGGCATTATTCCAGCAATATCACGACGGGGACACCCTAAAGTACTGTCGGAAATAGATAAAAAAAACTGTTACTGTTACTCTGTATCCTTAAAATTTACACAATTGCAAATAGCATATGTCGAAATAACCCACATCGGCCTAACTGGGCGTTCAGTGGGATGTGCAATAGGATATCCAGAAAAGCATGTTTACTCGTAAACTCGGGCAAAACTTAGAAACACTACGAACAGCTGCTGAAAACAATAGATCAGACTATAGATGGCAATTAGGTCGCTCAGCCAGGTATGACGACGGACCGTCAACTCACTTGGCATGAAATGCACGTGCTGCCCACAGACACAAGGGGTCATCTCAAATATCTTTTATGCTGTTTCATGTGTATTGAACATGTCTCGACTAATTTTCTAATCTAAGCTAATATCTCTATCCCCAAGCCCGAACCCAACTACCGTCAACAACACCTGTCTTGGTTTTGCTTTTGAGACGACCCCTCCTACCTGTTTCTTTTGATAGTGACAGTGAGACTCAATGGTATCTATATCCTTAATAGTTTCAGCATTAAAGTTGTTATTTTTTACGTCTGCTATCGTTTATTATGAAGCTAAGTCTAATTTCAAAATGGACATTCAAAAAGTGTCATTTGTTATACAATATCATCGCACACTAATTTGCATAAAGCCATGTTCTGCTCCAAAAAGTCTCTTCGGACTTTGAAAATAACCGCATTGCTCATTTCTGCACTAATATCTCCTCAGTAAAATCCTTCTTTTACGTTTCCTATCTCCCTACCACTGAGACTGTAGTTAGGCCAAACTTAGTTCAACAGATATTTCACACTTTCACATATTAACTACCTAACTTGAAACAGTTTTTTTTCTATTTCCGACGGTACTTTAGTTCAGTTCACACGGTTAGGGATACGAACCCGGCCTTCGACGAGCTGACGCTTCAACCACTAGGCTAACCAGTCGCCTTTCTGACTACTGAGAGGGGCGGTTGGGTAGCCTAGTGCTTAAGGCGTTCGCTCGGCACACCAAAGACGCGGGTTCGATTCCCCCTATGGGTACAATGTGTGAAGCCCATTTCTGGTGTCCCCCGCCGTGATATTGCTGGAATATTGCTAAAAGCGGCGTAAAACTCACTCACTCACTCTGACTATTGAGGACAAGATGGCTCATGTACATCGGGCACCTGTTGAACTGTTTTTACTGTTCAACACAGGGCGTGTTATAAGTGAAATAATCTTCAAAGCCGCGTTAAACTACAGAGGGAACACTTATTAAAGCGAGTTGAATGATCAGAGCATATCTGACTTGGATTGTATCTGACAGTGTGGGCCGTGCTCTTGACATCAACTACTAGTTTGTCGGCCAAGAAAAATTATCCAAGAGTAAATGAAACGATGCGAGGCCAGCCTTCTTTGAACGTCTTGTGGGACAAGGTTGACCATTGACGTCACAGATTTGCGAAGTCCGACGGGTGATATCTCCACTATATGTTCGAAATTTCACTGTCAGTGTACAATTTGATAACTTAACGAGTCTGAGGTACTCGGATGTCGGTGTTGACGGGTGGCACGTCACCCATAAATACTTGCAATGACCTCTGTATTATCATTTGCTTTAGGAATTATGTCAACATACACAGCTGCAACCTGTATAATCATTAACTATTTGTTTCATGAATGCATTTGCGCAAGAATTTTACCGCCAGCCCTCAACTTTCACTCCGAGTTGAAATATAAATAAGTTTGATTGTCTAAATGTTTCCCGCCGCTGTAGACATTAATATCCCGATGTGACTGTGTCACAGTCCCTGGACCGCATTAGTTTCCTTTCCGCCTCGTCTGTCAAACAGACCCTGAGAAAAATACCCTATGCAGCCTATGCAAGTCTAGAATGTGTGGCAAGTCTAGATTACCACAGTTTCTGAAAATGAAGTAAGTCTCTATTTTAATTTTTAAACTATTTTTTCTGTAAAATATGTTCATTTCAGAGACTAGCTGTTAGTCTACCTTCCACCCAGCCCTTCCTGCAATGCTAAAGCCCTAAATGAAGCAAGTCTAGATTTCCTCAGGCTTAGGTCTCCCATCTCACGGGGGCTCCTTTTCAGTTTAAATGGAACTGAGTGTTGCTACCAAAATTATATATATTCAGTCTTCAGAGAGTGTTTGGGTGTTGCTACCAAAATTATATATACATTGTATTCAGTCTTCAGAGACTAAGCGTTTGTCTACCATAAAAACAACAGATCAGATCTTTCTTCATCTAAATTTACTGAAAAATGTTAGTGAAGCTAGTAGAGTCGATCTACATCATAAAATTAATTTAAAGATTATAAATTTCATAAATAATACATTTTAACAGTATAAACGATATACTTTACCCAGGAATTGGCTTTCACTTTGTGTGAGTTTAATGGAGTATGCACCTTAAGAGTAAGAGACAAAATGGACGGAGATTGCGAGGATATGTTTACCTGAAATTGACACTCTCTAGTTCAACAATAAAGGTGTTAATGGATCAGATTATTATTTTTTTTTTTTTTTTTAATATAACACTCAGCAACGTCCAGCTATATGGCGGCGGTCTGTAAATAATCAAATCCGGACCAGACAATCCAGTGATCAACAGCTTGCGAGTGGATCTACGCAATTGGGATACAATGACATGTCAGCGAGCCTGACCACACAATCCCGTTAGCCTGAAGAGTGACGATCAATTGTAACCCGGATCTCCATGGCTAAATGGATCAGAAACAACGTTCCTGAAGTCTTTCGTGCAAGATAATTTCCACGGGTTTCCCCGGGAAGGTGGAAGTGGGCCGTCCATGATTACACCAGTCTCGTCAAAAACGTACGAACATCTATATGTGTCGTTCGTTCACTTCTAAACGTCAGTTTCGCGGTCATGTGACAGACCTCTCGTCCAATAAAAATGCAATAGGTCGTGCGAACTTTATATTTTCAATTTAGCTGTCAAATAATGAAACACATAAATAATAATGGAAACATACATTAACATTAACCTGTTGGATCACTGCTGAGAGCTCAATGCACATTTGATTTAGTGATGATTCAGTTCACTCACCATACACCTAATTTGGGCGATTGATAATATTATTCCTCGGTTTGCAATGTAAGAAATATGAAAGCGCCTTCCTATATCTAATTTTTCATCGTCTTAAATCTTGTAACTAAATCAAAATTTCTGTGAGAAAAAAGTGAGTGAGTGAGTTTCATTTTACGCCGCACTCAACAATGTTCCAGTTATATGGCGGCGGTCTGTAAATAATCGATTCTGGACCAGACAATCCAGTGATGAACATCATGAGCATCGATCTACACAACTGGGATACGGTGACATGTGTCAACCAAGTCAGCGAGCCTGACAACCCGATCCCGTTAGCCGCCTCTTACGACAAGCATGATCATCGATCTACACAATTTTGTTATTCCATGTTTTTTGGGGTGTAGACCAACAGTTGTCAGAGTTCTTTGTTAGTGTGACTGCTGCCGTGAGATAAGATAAGGATGTGAGAATTGCAGACAGTATGTGTAACATCGGCACAGCTGCAGACTGACAAACTTTGCACTGCAAGATTATACGGGGTGCTGTATGGTAGTGTGAGTCTGAGGTACGTCTTGATAGTTTTCATTATGTTAAAGACTCATGATAGTCATCTAGATTTATTGTCATTTAAGGACATGAGTTAAGTACAAGGTATGGCACCTTTATTATTTTATTATGTTGAGACGTTTCAGTAGAAATCTTTGTACTACCCGTGAAGAGTAGTACAAAGTAGTACAGGTTGGTTGATCTCCACCAACCAATGCCTGGGTTTGGGTGGTCAGATTCCCTGACTTGGTTGACACATGGCATCGTATCACAATTGCGTAGATCGATGCTCATGCTGTTGATCACTTGATTCTGTAGTCCAGACGCAATTATTGACAGACTGACGCCTTATAGCTGGAAAAATAGCTGAGTGCGATGTTAAACAACGAAGATCTAATCCATTTACACCTGTGTTGTTGAACTAAACGTTTAGAGAGTGTGAATGTCAGGTAAAAATATCCTCGGGGCGTTGAATACCAAATAAAGATAAGGGTAACCTCATAACAGAATAATTCATGACATATCTTGCCTTTACTGTTATTCATACACGTTGAGAAATGTCAATCAAACAATTAATATTCAGTGCAAAATTTCATATGTAATTCATATCTGAAACAAAACAGTTGTTGTGCTACTTCAGAAATCAACTCGTATGTTTAATATCAGATACACCTATATTAAGAATAATAGTTGCACCAGATACACGAGGTCAAGTCTTGAAGGTTATAACGTGTGGAGTGTAATTGTAGACTTTGTCCGTTTACTTTGTAATTCTGACTGGATTCTACAACGACGGCACTCAAAGATCACAATCTGCTTATCGACCCCAACGTCTATAAATAAGTTCCACATATTAACCCAGGCATTGCAAGACAACAATTTGGTTTTCTTACAGTTAACTATCATGAATCAGGTTTTGTAGAGATAATCTGCCCACGTGGTTTTACTGTTACAATATGCACGTGACCGTAAAGACAAATATGTTTTGTTTTTGACCGTCATGAAAGCAAAAGACAAAATTTTAATGTCAGAATATGTATTACAATAAATATTATAGTTGTGAGTGAGGGAGTTGGGTTTTACGGCTCTTTTAGCAATATTCCAGCAATATCATGGATTGGAACACCAGAATGAACTTCACACAATTTACCTATTTGGGGAATCGAACCCGGGCCTTTGGTGTGACGAGCGAACGCTTTTACCACTAGGCTACCCCACCGCTCTATTATCGTAGTGGGAAAATGTCCTTGTATTAGATTTTCCCCTTAATGACGGTTAGAGGTAGTTGCTATAGTTACCTCAACGCATCTTTGAAATGATATGTCTACAGCTTGTAAGCGAGTGAGTTAATTTAGCAATTCGCTGTCATGCTGTGGCGATGGTAAGAGCAGGGAGTTGTCCAAAGGTTGACTTCATATATTGCAGCCCGACCCGTAAAGATCCGGGTTAGAATTGATCTTCAGCAACCCATGCCTGTAAGAGGCGACTAACGGGATTGGGTGGTCAGGCTCGCTGACTTTGTTGACACATGTCATGGTAACCCAGTTGCATAGAACGATGCTCATGCTGTTGATCACTGGATTGTCAGGTCTATTATTTACAGACCGCGCTCATAGCTGACATATTGCTGAGTGCGGCGTTAAACAACAACCAAACTTAATATTGCAGCCCAGCCAATGATACTTTCATGTTATTGAATATCCTGGAATGGTTTTGGCTTGGGGATCTAAGCACTACTGTGATCTTAACTCCTTTACCGTAGCACCGACGTACGACAGTCGTAGCGCTACGGTGATCGTAACTTCTTTACAGTAACATAGACGTACGACAGTCGTATCACTGGGGAAATCGTAACTCCCTTACCGTAACATAGACGTACGACAGTCGTGTCTCTGAGGTGATCGTAACCCCCTTACTGTAACATAGACGTACGACTGTCGTATCACTGGGGTGATCGTAACTCCCTTACTGTAACATAGACGTGGAACAGTTGTAGCACTAGGGTGATCGTAACTCCCTTACCGTAACATAGACGTACGACAGTCGTATCACTGGGGTGATCGTAACTCCCTTACCGTAACATAGACGTCGAACAGTTGTAGCACTAGGGTGATCGTAACTCCCTTACCGTAACATAGACGTACGACAGTCGTATCACTGGGGTGATCGTAACTCCCTTACCGTAACATAGACGTCGAACAGTTGTAGCACTAGGGTGATCGTAACTCCCTTACCGTAACATAGACGTACGACAGTCGTATCAGTCGTAATACAGTAACATAGACGTACGACAGTCGGGTGATCGTAACTCCCTTACCGTAACATAGACCCAGCACTTACCGTAACATAGACGTAAGAGTACGACAGTCAGCACTGGGGTGATCGTAACTCCCTTACAGTAACATAGACGTACGACAGTCGTATCACTGGGGTGATCGTAACTCCCTTACAGTAACATAGACGTAGCACAGTTGTAGCACTGGGGTGATCGTAACTCCCTTACAGTAACATAGACGTACGACAGTTGTAGCACTGGGGTGATCGTAACTCCCTTACAGTAACATAGACGTACGACAGTCGTATCACTGGGGTGATCGTAACTCCCTTACCGTAACATAGACGTACGAACAGTCGTAGCACTAGGGTGATCGTAACTCCCTTACCGTAACATAGACGTACAGACAGTCGTAGGTGACTGGGGTGATCGTAACTCCTGGGGTGATTACAGTAACATAGACGTACGACAGTCGTAGCACTGGGGTGATCGTAACTCCCTTACCGTAACATAGACGTACGACAGTCGTATCACTGTGATCGTAATCGTAACATAGACGTACGACAGTTGTAGCAGCAAGGGTGATTACCTTAACATAGACGTACGACAGTCGTCGTAGCACTGGGGTGATCGTAACTCCCTTACAGTAACATAGACGTACGACAGTCGTATCACTGGGGTGATCGTAACTCCCTTACAGTAACATAGACGTACGACAGTCGTAGCACTGGGGTGATCGTAACTCCCTTTACCGTAACATAGACGTACGACAGTCGTATCATATCGACGTAGATCACTGGGGTGATCGTAACTCCCTACCGTAGACGTGAAGAACAGTAACATAGACGTTGTGATCGCTACGACAGTCGGTATCACTGGGGTGATCGTAACTCCCCTTACCATAACATAGACGTCGAACAGTTGTGATCGTAACTCGTATCACTGGAAGTGATCGTAACTCCCTTACGGTAACATTACCGTCCTTACCGTAACAGACCCATAGATGTGGGGTGATCAGCTCCCTTACATTAAGGGACTTTACCGTAACATAGACATTACGACAGTCGTATCGCTGCGGTAATCGTAGCTCCCGTACCTTAATATACAGCGGTCGTTGCGCTAAGGGGAGTCGTAACTCCTTTACCCGTAACCAGACGTTTATCGTCGTAACATAGACATAGACGTACGACAGTCGTAGCACTGGGGTGATTATAACTCCCATACCTTAATATAGACAGGCGTATGGCGGTCCTAATCCTTACCGCAGTCGTAGCGCTACGCTGATCGTAACTTTCATACCGTACTATAGATGTCCAACAGTCGTACAGTTCTATAATTAATACGGCCTGACCTCTTGGAATATCTTGAAAACCTTCACGTCGTTAACATACCAGGAAGATAACTCGGGTCTTGTCCACAGCACCATTAGGTTGTTCAGATAAAGTCTGTTTCACATACGTGTGTGTCTGTGCTAAATCCGCTGATCTGTGTGCCGTGTGGAAATCTGCTCTCAAGTACTTGCTGGTAAGTGGAAGATAGGGGTTAACCATCTGTAGGGCGCGACAAGGCGATCGATAACATTGGAATTCACTTGTGGTGTAACGGAACGGTTAGTCCTGGTAGTCATTGCTCTGTACATAATATATTGTTTGAAACTATTTTTATCCTCAACGTGTTTACTTAAAGTCAGAGGTTGGAATATATTGATTTAGCACTCGTTTCGCGCATCACAAAATGCTGGCGAGGCACGTTTTAAAAAGTGGAATTGTATTTTTCATCTTAGGGGAATGTTCGAAACAAATATCTTCTTAGCATTGAACTTACAGTTAAGTTTGTTAAGATATGAAAAATATCCACTGTTTAAGTAAGAAAAACGTATCCTGTCACGAGATCCGAAACGGCATAGCGGGAGATTCAGTGAACGGGAATATGCGGAACAAGAATCTCGATCTGCATGATAAAACAGCTGTACACGTGCTTCACCCAATTAATGCACGACTTTCCTCCTTAGCACGTGCACAGGTCGTGTTATGCTAGCACACAAAGCTATTCGATATGTACAAAAGAAATATTCAAATATCAGTAATGTAAAGCATGTTATCTGATACATTTAGCCCCATTAAGCTGTGCAGTCTGTCTTAGCGCTCAAATTATCATTTACCAACACGTCCTCCTCTGCAGCAGTGGTATTTGAAGGACACACTGACCGCGACTTCGTGACTTACATACACGGGATCAATGTCACGGTTGTTCACTAATGGCAGTGAAAAGTCGGTTGAGAGCGTTTCTAGAGGCTGGGAGGTTGTCTCGCGGTGAAGTCGACTCTCAGGATTTAAAACTGAAAATATTACAACAAATATTTCACTTGCATTCAGTATCTTTGGTTTTGTTCATTTAACCTACAAAATCCGCTTTGGATAAAATGTTAAACCCTGCTTTCCACAAACAAGTCCGAATCTGACTTTATCCCCAGACATTCAGACACATTTCACAGTACGGCTAGTGTTGTTAGAAGTTTAAAAAGGCGATTGGGAATCATGTTAGACACATAATATCCAAGATATATTTTTTCCGGATATTCTGCATTCTACCATTGAAGTATTTCATGGATACGACACACACTGAACGTCATGGTGCGCAATTTGAAATCTGTCTCGAAAAGGAAATTCAGATTCTGGAAAGGTCGTTTCATAAAAATTTAAATAATTGGGACAAATGTTTTCTGACACACTTCCTTTTTTAACGAGGAATTATATATCTAGAAGTGAAAAGGCTTCGTTGAGAGTGTGTGTATTCTTTTTTGTCTAAGTGTGTTTTCCATCTCCCGTCTACCCTAAAGCTTCCTTCCGACGTGAAATAATATGAAAAAACATTCCTTATCTCTATTATTCTCGCTTCGGCATGCCCAAGTTGGATAAAGGAAAAAAACACGTTACCCGCCAATACTCATCAAACACAGGCCAGCTTTATTTCCCTTCATCTTAATCTGTTAGTAAATTGTTTCCCAAGAGACGCGACTCAATCTACATCATAAATACTGATACGCTGAGATCGAAATTTAAAAGTTTCTAAAAATGCGTTATCATAATTATTAGTAAAACAACATTTTGGTCAAATATTTTTTTTTTTTTAATTATTAATGTCCGCCCGCTCTCTCGCTGGTTGAGGTTACAGATGAAAGTGAGTAAGTTTGGTTTTACGCCGCTTTTAGCAATATTCAAGCAGTATCACGGCCGGGGAACACCAGAAATGGGCTTCACACATTGTACCCATGTGGGGAATCGAACCCGGGTCTTCGGCATGACGTGCAAACGCTTTAACATCTAGGCTACCCCCACCGCCCCTGGTAGAAAGTGAGGGACATGATTTTACGCCGCTTATATAATCACGGCGGAGCACACCAGTACGGTCACGTGGTATGTTAGCGGGCTTGTGCCACTGGTTCAGCTGGTGCCCGCCGTGAGTTAGTTTGAATATTGCATCAGCATAAAATAACATGCACCCATTGAAACAAGCATGGAACATGCCCTTACCCCTCCCCGGAATATTTGATTCAGACCTCTCAAAACCAAAATATTCACCGGAAAATGGTATTCGACTAAACAATTGCAAAGTTAATTCAAACGTTACCAGTCTGAAAACAGTTACCAAAGCACTGCAAACGTACGACCCGAAACATAACAGTGATAACCTACCAATGTTTGTTTGTTTGTTTGTTGTTGAATGCTGCACTCAGCAGTATTCCAGCGATATGGGGGCGGTGGGGTAGCCTAGTGGTTAAAGCGTTGGCTCGTCACGCCGAAGACCCGGGTTCGAATCCCCACATGGGTACAATGTGTGAAGCCCATTTCTGGTGTCCCCCGCCGTGATATTGCTGGAATATTGCTAAAAGCGGCGTAAAACCAAACTCAGTCAGTCAGTCAGTCCAGCTATATGGCCTTTAGTAATGACCTTTCTCTGAACTAGCAGGTAAGATTTTGTTCTCCAGCAACCAATACTTGTCGTAAGAGGCGACTAACGGGATTAGGTTGTCAGGGTCTCTGACCTGGTTGACACATGTAATGTTATCTAAGTGACGTAATACGATGTTCATGACATTAATCACTGCATATCCTGACTCGATACGTGTGTGAAGTTTTCGTCACAGGGTAGACACACATGGTCAGTCCGACTCTGCCCTAAGGGTCAGTTGGGGCAGATAACTACCTACTTGAATGTAATTCTTAAATAATGACACAACCATCCCCGGTGGTTGCCGATAAACCGCTGACAGCCTGGGATGTTGTGGAAGATAATAGGGAATCAAAACTTTGGGGTTATGTAATGATGGCTTGAGTTGTATATATACGGCTGTCGGGGAGGGCCACCTTACTCGGTACCTCTCACTCTGCCTCCGCCGAATAAACTCCCGACAAATCAACAGCCTTCTCTGTTCTTTAAGGTAACACATTTGTTGACATTTCTAGTTTAACTTATTTTGCTCGCTACAGTTAACATATGCTAGATTTAAGCTAGGGATATCATGACGCATCGTAGCATTGCGACAGGTATCATTTAACTTATATCTAACTGGCGACATTCCCGCCGTGATATTGCTGGAATATTGTTAAAAGCGGCGTAAAACCCAACTCACTCACGCTTGCGAACGTACTGTATACGGTATATGTTATTTTAGTGTACTGTCTAGACGGCAATATCCCATCTATCCCACTCTATGCAAACTTCAAAGCGTGTGTCAAATTTAATAATAATTTTTCAACATCTTTTGATTGTCCACTCGGTTTACGACAAGGGTGTATCTTAGGCCCTCTTCTTATCTCCATTCTTATCAATGCACTAGCTTATGAAATCGAAGCATGTCGTGAATCAGGAATTCAGTTTCATCCTGAACTTGTACAGTTATTTCTTCTTTTATTTGCTGATGACGTTGTGTTTATCTCTGATACAGTGTTTGGTCTACAGAAAAGACTTGATGTCCTAACAGTATTTTGTTCTGAGAATTGTTTGACGGTAAATATGGAAAAAACAAAGGTAATAGTTTTCAAAAATGGTGGAAGACTGTCAAAGTATGAAAATGGTTCTATACTGGTGTACAAATAGAATGGTTTCCTGGTATAAATATATAGGTATTTTATTCAGTAGGTCATTAGTATGGACCAAGCACATAGAAAATGTAAAGTTTTATTTGGTACATGTAGATCACTGTCAATGTTTAAGCCGTTATCTTTTTACCTGTTTTTTAAAAGATTTTTGACACCTAAGATTGTCCAATTTTATCATACGGTGCAGAAATATGGGGGCTCAATCAGCGTTCGAAATAATCGCCGGCCCGGAGGCCCAGCACCGGGTGTTTTTGTATCGGGCCGGCAATTTCAAATATTTGCAGGCCCTTGTGGCCTTCAGTAATTTATCTGTAATTTGTTTTCTCAACTGAAATTTTCCCATAATTTCTTTCTGTATTAATGTTAGGGAATCATCCATAATCCCTCATGTTACGATAACTTACAGTTTCACTTCCTGGTATTTCAGCGCTTTGTGCATATGAATGTCAACACCAGTCTTTAACAAATCAAAACATCTCTCTGCGCCATAGGCTTCGCTAATTGATTTTGTAGAAACAGTGTGAATCTGTGTACAGTGAAGTCTATTTTATTTTTGGGGGTTTGACGTTAACAAAATGGGCCTGCAGATTTCATCAAGGGCCCGTAGATTTTAAAGCCTCGCAGGTGTCAGCAGGCCCTGGTGGCCAACTGGCAAATTAACCTGTTGCAAACACTGGGCTGAATGTTGTTAACGAAATAGAAGTTATACATGTAAGAGCTTGTAAACGATTTCTAGGAATTAAATCCTCTGTTTCAGCGATGTTGTGCGAGGCGAATGTGGAATATATCCATTGTATATTTATACCATTTAAAGTTTTATCAAATATTGGTGTAAAATATTGAAAATGTCAAATGAGCGTTATGTAAAGAAATGTTATAACGTGCTTGTACAAATGGAAAGTAATGGTTGTCAGAGCTGGGCATCTAGGATAAAGCATACATGAAAAGTATTCGGATTTGTTTAGCAAGAACAGATGGTTCCAAATGAAACGCTATTTTTAATGAATTTCTTGGTAGACTCAAAGTTTCGGATCAAAAAGACTAGTAAAAGCACAAAAACATTTGGATACTCGTTGTATAAACCTATGTACGGTGTTGAATCATACATCCTCACAGTCAGCTATTTTAAACATGCTCTTGCTCAGTTTAGATCGGGGTCTCATAAACTACGAATAGAAACTGGCAGGTATATTGAGAGGCTAGAAATGACAGATTATGTAATAACTGTAAACTGCCATATCTAGGAGATGAGTATCACTTCTTGCATATTTGTAATATATATCAAGCATTGCGGCGTCCGTACATCCCTTTACAATTTTATGAAAATCCAACAATCCATAAATTTAATATGCTTCTGCAAGCATCAAATGCAAGCATCTTAAAACATTTATCAGCATATATATATCAAGCTATGTTACTAAGACAGGCTTCATTATCACATACTTTCTCACTTTGTAATTCTCAAGGTGTAACCTGGTCCTGTCAGCGTTTAAAATTCCCGCCTGCCCGACCACCCGGAACTGTCTATTTTCATCTCGGACTGTCAAATTTCAAAAGAAGCCTGTCCGGTGGTCTGGTAGAAATTCTTACCCCTAAGAGTAAATATTTCATAATATATCAGACAGATTTTCGTGTCGTCAGTTTGAGGTGTAGATCTATAAGGTATTATGAAAATTATGTTAAACTACACATATGATTGTACAGTTCATGTTACGATAACTAATCATAACACATGTACTTTCAGTTTACCTAAACTCGGTGCATTGCCTGTTAGTGCTATGTAGTTCATTGCGATGCCTACAAACAGTGAATGGAGCTTGCGCGAGTTGGCAATGGCAGTCACAGTTTTTTATTGTTGAAAACCGGACAGGCAAATTTGTATCCGGACCGGCTGTCTGGCTTGGAATTTTGGGAGTTTTAAACACTGCCTATGGCTTATATTACTTTTCTGAAATAAAGCACTGCATATGAGTATGAGTACCAATGTCCAAAACTAGCATGTTCCTACATTCAGAGGCGCATACCGGAAGACAAGACACACAAACCCGCGACGTCACAGACATGGACGGTAAAGTTGCCCTGGTAACAGGATCCACAACGGGCATTGGTTTAGGAATAGCCAATCATCTCGCAGAAAAAGGATGTTCGATCATTTTGACTGGATTGGGAAGCCAAGAGCTCATCGATTCCATCCTGAAGGATTTTAAAAAGTAAGTCTAGAATATTGTTCACTGCACAGTATCATCACTGAATGTAAAATAATTAGTTTGAAACTCACAGACCAGTGACTGATAGTATTAAGAACGATAGACGTCGCCAGGGTATCATGATCCACCACGAGAGAGAGACCGATCACAAACTAACCATTTTCAACCAAAACATCGACCCAACTCTAAGATTTTTTTTGATTTTTTACACTAGAGAAAATGCAACTTTGACTCTCAAAATGTGCATGAATTTTTCTATACACATTATGAATTATGTATAATAAGTTATTGGTCTTATTGCTCTGTCAAATGATAGACATCTCACATGACAAAGAATGGCACCACAACTTACATATGAAGCGTAAAGGTTTATAATTTATCGGTAGTTCGTGTCTTTCGCTCCTTGAAACCCATAGAGAACATTATCTGTAAAACTCTGTATGTATGAGTGAGTATGGTTTTACGCCGCTTTCAGCAATATTCCAGCAATATCACGGCGGGGGGATACCAGAAATGGGCTTCACACATTGTACCCATGTGGGCAATCGAACCCGGGTCTTCGGCGTGACGAGCGAACGCTTTAACCACTAGGCTACTCCCATCGCCCCCGACATATTAAACTGGCACGTGGTGATATGACTGAAATTATGTTAAAAGTAAGATTGAACAAATACTCACTCACTCTGTGTGTTCCAGATACAAAGGCCGAGTTGATTATGTTGCCGCTGACCTCTTTGACCCTGTGTCTATTGCAACCTTCTGTGACAAAGTCTGTGATATACACCCTGATGGAGTTGATATCCTCGTCAACAACGCAGGTGAGTTTACGATTTTAGCGATATCACTTGAAGTAAGAACGCAGGTGAGTTTACCATGTTAGTGATACCACTTGAAATCAGAACACAGGTGAGCTAACCATCGCAGCGATATCCCTTGAAATCGCGGAACGCAGGTGAGCTTACGATCTCAGCGATATCCCTTGAAATCAGAACGCAGGTGAGTTTACCATGTCAGCGATACCACTTGAAATCAGAACACAGGTGAGCTTACGATCTCAGCCATATTCCTTGAAATCAGAACCCGGGTGAGTTTACAATCTCAGCGATATCCCTTGAAATCAGAACGCAGGTGAGCTTACGATCTCAGCGATATCCTTTAAAATCAGAACGCAGGTGAGCATACGATCTCAGTGATATCCCTTGAAATCAGAACGCAGGTGAGCTTTCGATCTCAGCGATATGCCTTGAAATCAGAACGCAACTGAGCTTACGATCTCAGCAAAATCCCCTTGAAATTAGAACGCAGGTGAGCTTACGATCTCAGCGATATTCTTTGAAATCAGAACGCAGGTGAGTTGACCATCTCAGCGATATCCCTTGAAATCAGAACCCGGGTGAGTTTACGATCTCAGAGATTTCCTTGAAATCAGAACGCAGGTGAGCTTACGACCTCAGCGATATGCCTTGAAATCAGAACGCAGGTGAGTTTACCATCTCAGCGATATCCCTTGAAATCAGAACCCGGGTGAGTTTACCCTCTCAGCGATTTCCTTGAAATCAGAATGCAGGTGAGCTTACGACCTCAGCGATATCCCTTGAAATCAGAACGCAGGTGAGTTTACCATCTCAGCGATATGCCTTGAAATCAGAACGCAGGTGAGTTTACCATCTCAGCGATATCCCTTGAAATCAGAACCCGGGTGAGTTTACCATCTCAGCGATTTCCTTGAAATCAGAATGCAGGTGAGCTTACGACCTCAGCGATATCCTTTGAAATCAGAACGCAGGTGAGCTTACGATCTCAGCGATATCCTTTGAAATCAGAACGCAGGTGAGTTTACCATCTCAGCGATATCCCTTGAAATCAGAACCATGGTGAGTTTACCATCTCAGCGATATGCCTTGAAATCAGAACGCAGGTGAGCTTACGATCTCAGCGATATCCCTTGAAATCAGAACGCGGATGAGCTTACCGTCTACCTTGAAATCAGAACGCAGGTGTGCCTTCAAAACTTAAAAGTCTTGACGTCATAACAGTGTAGGTGGGGTAACAATCGCAGAGGCATCTCAACAAAACAGCCAAGGTCATTTTTGTGCCAACCAATGACTGTAGAACTAAGCATGTGAGGTAACAATCACAATATCAGGTGGCATCAGAAAAGTACTAGCTAAAATATTTTGCTGAAACGTATAAAAAAATAAAACATGCAATTAAGTTTTGATTTGTAATTTGTTGTTTAACGGCGCACTCATTAATATCTAACAATATTTAACAGTAAATAATCGAGTCTGGGCCTGGCACCTCAGTATTACAATCACGCCGTCAGGGAACGATGACACACCCGACTGAATCGGAATGCTCGCCGAGTCCAATGGTACTTATCCCTGGAGGGGCGGTGGGGTAGCCTAGTAGTTAAAGCGTTCGCTTATCACGCCGAAGACCCGGGTTCGATTCTCCATATGGGTACAATGTGTGAAGCCCATTTCTGGGCCGTGATATTGCTGGAATGTTTCTGTAGAACCACTTACTTATTGCTGGAGGCTATTATCTTCGACCAGGTTTATTCATAACCTGCTTACATTTCATCATGATATCGATCACTGGTTTAACTGGCCAAAATAACTTATACACCGACTCGATGCAGCGTTAACAACATTTACTCTCTCTCAAATTGTTTCGAACTGCATTTGGGAGCGGTAGCCTAGTGAATAAAGCGTTCACTCGTCAGGCCGAAGACCTGGGTTCGATTCCCAATATGGGTAAGCCTATTTCTACTGTCCTACGCTGTGATATTGCTGGATTATTGTCAAAACGGCATAAAACTTTACTCACTCACTCAAACTGAGTTTACGTCATCGCGATGTTTCAGGTATTCAGTACGTCAGAGCCGTCGAAGACTACCCCCTGGAGAAGTGGAATCAGATGATTGCCATAACCCTGACGGCGCCATTCCTTCTCACCAAACACTTCCTGTCACGGATGAAACAGAAGGGTGAGTGGCATCTTGTGGTTTAAAGTTCTACCCTTGAAGATCCGGGTTAGAATTGCAACCCCATGCTTGTGGTAAGAGGCGACTAACGGGATCAGGTGGTCAGGCTCGCTGACTTGGTTGGCACATGTCACCGTATCCCAGTTGCGTAGATCGATGCTCATGTTGTTGATCACATGTGTGCTTCGTTGTGGGGCAGGACTGAAGTCCTGGAAACTCTCAAGCGTCCAACCACGGCCACCCATCCAAAGAATCTCCTGTGTCAGTCCCCATGAAGTGATCGTAAGTTCGAATCCCATGTTCACGTTTTTCTTTGGTGCATCCGAACCATTACCGTGGTATTGTTTCACAATTGATGAAGTTCCATGATCTGCTTCTCAGGTTGGTGTCCGCCCACCATAACGATGACGTGGTGATATCGGAACCTACAGGGACTTTAACTGAATCTATTTGTTGAATAAATTAATAAAAGCATATTTTAAGATCAACCATATCCTATTTGTGATAACCTACCAAAGCATCTGTAGTACAATTTGGTTACAGCAGACCAGCTATGAGTCCCAAAACAAAACCATGACCATTATTTCTAAGTACTGTTTATTATCAATGGACATTTTACATCGAAAACTTATTCTACATGAATATCTAATCCCAGAGAATTCATTCAATGTTGTCTTTGCATTTGCTGTACAATTCAGCAATATTCCTGCAACAACACGGTGGCTTGCAAAAGAATATTTTGGATCAGACTGAAGAGTGTTTGACATAAGAAAGATAAGCCCCCTCACCGCCGGGGTACAATGACTCGTCATCTACCAAACCACAACTTGACCACTATATGGACGTAGTCGCCTCGTGATGACGAACACAGGTTTTGGGGTTACTGCGAACACAGTTCCCAGTTTCATCAACTCAGGGCATCTGCAAATAGTCGCGTCACAGCCTCGGTACATATTTTAGTTATAACGGTAACATTTGGCGTTTCGTTAGAATTTGTTCGCCAGTCGACAGCCATCTGCCCTCGTGTGACAGCGCCGCAAAGTTCTATCGTTGCATAAACCTTCTTCTTTTCCAAGATCGACGTTTCGTTGATACAGGCAGCCATGGCGTTCAGATCACACAACCGGATGCCCGTCCGTGTATTCCGGAAGTCGCGTTTCACAACCCAGTAATTCGTCATTCTCTCCACAAACTTGCTTTTGGGAGTCTCAGCCTTCATCCATTTGTCATATGAGGCCTGTGGAAGAAGGATGTTTTTATAAATGGTGAATCAGCCTTATACATATTGACATGAGACCAATTATTTACGTTTAATATCGTCACAATCCACCAATGTTTCCTCAAGCTGCAATCCGTTGATGGAATGACCATGAACAAACTGTGGTGATAAGGACATGAATTATCTAATCTGTACGTACTGAATTGGTATAACTGCATCTGAACAAAGAGAAAACAAGACTTTCCGTCTGGGTTATGTAACCGTATGTACATTTACCACCTGAATGTGTGGTTTTCTTGACGTCGTTTTTGTGCATTAGGCGAGGTGAGATTAAATGGGGTTTAACGTCGCACTATGACGACGTGCATTCGTGTGTGTGTGTGTGTGTGTGTGTGTGTGTGTGTCTGTGTGTGTGTGTGTCAAGCTCTGTGTGTATGTGTGCGTGTCTGTCTGTCTGCTTGAGATACTATGCCGCAGTGAAGCATGAATACCCCACTCAGACACATTATACTGACTCCGAGCCGACCAGTCCTTGTACCCATTAATGCCGAGCGCCAGGCACCAACAAGTACCATATTTTAACGTCTTTTGGTATGAAGCGGTCGGGGATCGAACCCGCGACCTTCCGCTCCCCGGGCGGACGCTGTAACCACTACAGCACGGAGTCGGTCCGTAACCATAGGGGAATATTGAAATATATTGTAGTAAATAGCGGATGAATATTTGCTGAAAGTACCATCGGGGAGACAGTCGACGGTCAGTTCTCGACTTGTTTGAGGACAGTGGCTACTCTATGAGCCTGATGGTTATGGGGGACTACTTGATTTACTGGATATCCCTAGCACCCCCAGCCACACTGCCTACACACGGGTTTTCAGGAACAAATATACGCACCCATGGAATCTCCGCGTCCATGCAAGTCTCCCATGGGACAACATTGACGTCACCGAGGCCGTGCAGACTGATGAAGGCCGCCTCCGGGTCAGAGTGGAAGTTGAACTCTCCGCTCATAGTGATGTTTCCTATACCTAGGGGGAAATCATTGCACATATCTGTACTATCCGCTCATCGTGACGTTCCTATACCTAGGGAGAAATCATTGCACATATATGTACTCTCCGCTCTCCGTGACGTTTCCTATACCTAGGGAGAGATCATTGCACATATCTGTACTCTCTGCTCATCGTGACGTCTCCTATACCTAGGGAGAAATCATTGCACATATCTGTACTCTCCGCTCATCGTGACGTTTCCTATACCTAGGGAGAAATCATTGCACATATCTGTACTCTCCGCTCATCGTGACGTTTCCTATACCTAGGGAGAAATCATTGCACATATCTGTACTCTCCGCTCATCGTGAAGTTTCCTATACCTAGGGAGAAATCATTGCACATATCTGTACTCTCCGCTCATCGTGAGGTTTCCTATACCTAGGGAGAAATCATGGCACATATCTGTCACTCCGATCTTTTCTTGTTGGTGATAATCACGCAGCTGTCATATAGGTATTCCACGAATATGGGCCCACTGAACAGATTTCCACCGATGGGCCCACATTTTAGAAAGTCAGATGGCCCACCTTTCTCCCGTTAGATAGGTTACCAGGCCCACCTTTCTCCCGTTATGTAGGTTAACAGGCCCTCTTTTGTACATCACCAAGCTTCATTAGAAAGGTTATAGATTGACTAGCTTGGCTAAGGTCGTTAGTGTTTGTAGATAAATAGTACCTTTATAGTTACCACCCATGATGTAGACGTCCTTCACCTTCTTGCCGAACTCCGGGTCCATTTTCAATGCCAGTGCGATGTTTGTAAGTGGCCCAACAGGAACTAGAGTAATCTCCCCTGTACGATAATATGGTAAATTACTGATTTGTGGTTTCTTTCACGTGACTGCTGAATAATAAAACATAATGAAAATATTTTAGTTGAAAAAAAGTAGATGAATATGTAGTTTGGAGAAGTTTGATAGCTGATACAACCTTGCGTAATACGTATGTCCTTGTACCTGGAAACAAGTTGACCAATCGAATAAGAGCATTGACGGCGTGTTCTGATTGGACGACACTTGTGTCGACCTCTTCGTCCCAGTCAATTTCCCCTAGTCCGTCGTTGCCATGGAAGGAAACTGGTTCACGGTTGTGGGGTATAATTGGGGAATCTGCTCCCTTGAAGACCGGAACCTGAATATGGAGTGAATTTAATTTTACGCCGCTATATGTTCCGGCCTAATTTTATGGTGGGTTCATTTTTTGCGAGGTTCATCGTATACATGGCTTCGGACCCTGGTATTCAGTGAGCCTAGAACTAGGCGAGCCCACTGCCCGAATATTTCCATCCATGTCACACATTGTTTCCTCGTGAAACCAGGGGCGGTGGGGTAGCCTAGTGGTTAAAGCGTTTGCTCGTCACGCCGATTCCCCACATGGGTACAATGTTTGAAGCCAATTTCTGGTGTCCCGCTGCCGCGATATTGCTGGAATATTGCTAAAAGCGGCGTAAAACTGAAGTCACTCATTCACCGGAAGCAGTGTACGATTACTAATATCATTTGTAGATTTTCTTCTACTTCAGAAGATTGCATAAATGCTTATTATGTGATAGTAAATGAATATATTCGGCAAATAAGTCTGACCCCAAATATGACATTGTTTTCGAACACCTCCAGTTGACTCAAAGTATTTGGAAACATAAATACTTGTACAATATTCCAAAATACTTACATTAACTCGATCACATACTTTGAGAACTCTCAATGTATTTCGAATGACCTTGTCCACGTGAACGTTTCCGCTTACACACGTGACACCAAGCACTTCCACATCCGGGTGACTCAATGCCAGGATAATGGCGGCTGAGTCATCGATGCCAGTGTCAACGTCCAAAATTAGTTTTCTTCCCATAACTGAAACAGTCAATAGCATGGAATAAGTTTTCAAGAAATTCATAATTATTTCATGTCCAACGTTCGTATTGTATTTTTGTGCCATCAACTTTTCTACTTCAAATATTTTGTTTCAAGTCTTCATAAAGTTAGACCCCACATGGGTACAAAGGTGAAGCCCATTTCTGGTGTCCCCCCGCTGTGATATTGCTGGAATATTGCTAAAACGGCGTAAAATCCAACTCACTCACTCACTCATAAATTTGTCAGTTTCAGTGACAGTTTGTTGTTCATAATGCTTCATACATGTATAAACGTTTTAAATATTATTATAATGTAATTCAATGTGATTAAATTGTTTTGTAATTTCTGCATGCAGAACACAATCTATTTTGGTCTATTGAAGCTATTTAAATACAATGCATTATCCAGACTTTTCATTTATTCGTACAGATCATGCGATGATTAGGGCACATTAAAAATGAAGCAGTTTTACACCATTTTATACCTTTTATTACAGCAAATCGACTGAATTAATATCAATAAGAATAATTCTATGAAAACGTACAGAAGTAATACATACAAAACATAGGGTAGCGTTTCCAAGCTATGTCTATCATGGGTAGTATAAATCAAAGAATATAAAAAATAACTGGGTGTACAGATGCATCTGTCCAAAAATTAGGTCAAGAAATTGAGGTCACTCGTATCTGAGCGTGGTCAAACGAGGGAATCTAAGGGCAATTCAGGTATATGTTTCTAATGACATCTTAAATCATAATGATAAATATTATCTTCATCCTTCAGTCAAACAATCATCGAACACGACTATAAATAAATACAGATACCTCAACACACGTGTTGGCCTTACGGCTCGCAGGGCGCAGGGTCAGAGTTCAGTGGTGAATATCCAAATCACGTGATCTGTTGACCCAACCAATGACTGCACGATGATGCTCTCGATACAGCCTGGTTCCCGGGGTCTGCGGCGCTAACGCTTCGACACTGAATCAGTCTGGCCTCGATAGACAAACAAAAAGGCGGACACGTCATGTATTTACTACAGAAAACCCCAAGAAGGAGTTGTTAGAATCTTGTCTTAGCATTATCAGCAGCAATGAAGCAAAGTATACGTCACGTGAAAAAAAACATCATTGTTACTGTAATTGAAAGAAAATATTAGGGACCGTTCATAATTAATGGGTGGGGGGTGATGATGATTTTTATGGAGAAGCATGTACAGTACAAAATTTATGTACAAAGTAAGTCACACAATTGTATGTCTGGTGCATTTGCGCCCAACGTCGGACCAAGCATATTCATATCAATTTTGATCAAAGTAAGTCTCACTCCCAAACTTCACGCAGAGGACCGTGCCTAGTGGTTAAGGCGTTCGCTCGTCGCCGAAAACCCGGGTGCGATTCCGTCATGGGTACGTGTGAAGCCATTTCTGGTATCCCCCGCCGTTATAATGCTGGGATATTGCTAAAAGCGGCGTAAAACCATACTCACTCGGTCACAGGTAATTTGTATAGCGTAGATCAATATATTGCTCTCGCGAACTTTAAGCAGAAATATGATAATAGGTTTGTGTTTGTTTTTGTGTAGTTGAGCCATTTAGTCATCCAGCATCTGAATAGTCATATTGATAATGGGTTTTTTATTCGGAGTTGAACTGGACTGACCGCGGAATATCTTCTTATTTGTGATTCATCAGTGTGATTCAGTGTGTGTGAATCTTAAATAAATGGTTTAATGTCATGGAAAATGCACAGGAACATGTCACGTGATTATTCAGCTGTCAGTGAACGGGTTGAACACGTTGTTTTCTGATGCACTGATTGACTTCACTCTCACCGTGTAGTGTTTGTGTCATCTTAGAGGGTTGATAGGGTAGCACAGTGGTTAAAGAGTCATCGAACATGGCCAACAACAAAAGTATGATCCTTTTTGGATGACAACTTAATTATATTATGATGCGACGTTTCAGTGTAGGTTCTAATACCGTTGTCAAGCAAGAGTCTTCATCATACCTTTCTCATAATTCATCTACTTCTAAATTGGCAAACAAACAGATGCTCAGCATCGTTCCTTACGTGGAAGACCCAGGTTCGACTCCCAACATCTGTTAAGCTCATTTCTGGCGTCCCCGCTGTTATATTGCTCAACGTAGGGTGAAACCCAAATCACTCACTCACCCAAGCGAGATCGACGCCCTACCAACCTCCCATACCCACTCTAACGCTCGCCAACACCCTTGACACCAACTTGTACATCTGGTAATACATCCACCAACATACCCGTCCACTCCTCAAACCGTCTGTCCAGTCACCCTATAAACATACGTTCATTTCTCATCATCCCCGTGACGACGTATGACTTGTGTTACAGGCTGGGGTCGCATCATCAACATGTCTTCACAGATGGCGGTGATCAGCACCAATGGCAAAGCTCCATACTCCGCAGCTAAATCCGGCCTCGTGGGCTTCACTAAGGTCAGTAGTCCACATGCGAACCCTAAGTTCAAGGTCAGGATCATCAGTACATGTAAAGGTCAAGGACGAAAGATAAAATGTATTCCAAGATTTGTCCAGGTATATTCTGGTTTCGATGTGTCCTGTGTATATGTATTCACATCGTTTAGAATTGTTTCGGACTGCTCAGCATGGTGTAACTTTCATGGCAATCACAGCGGCTTTAAAGTGACCTCACTGTTTACAGGGCGTGGCGCTTGAGGCTGCTGAATTCGGCGTGACGTGCAACGCCATCTGCCCCGGGTTTGTTGATGCTCCAAGTACGTCGCATATATATTTCAATTTTATTTAAATCGGCATTCATGATCTCGACCTGTTTGATAGTTTAAGAGACCCATTCTTGTCGTAAGCGGCGACTAACGGGATTGAATGGTCAGGTTCGGTGACTTGTTATTGTGTGGATAGATGCTAAAGATGTAGATCACTGGATTGTATGGTCCAGACTCGATGAAAACAGAAAACACGCTAGATATGATTCTGTGCTGCAATATTAGTAAAAAAAATCTAAATTTAGTGATCGGTATCTAAATATAATGTCAGTGACGTCAATCACTGGATTGTCTTGTCTAAGACCCGTGAAGGTCCGGGTTAGAATGAACCTTCAGTAACCCATGCTTGTCGGGATCGGGTGGTCAGGCTCGCTGGCTTGGTTGACACATGTTATCGGGTCCCAATTGCGCAGATCGATGCTCATGCTGTTGATCACTGGATTGTCTGGTCTAGACTCAATTATTTTCAGACCGCCGCCATATAGCTGGAATATTGTTGAGTGCGGCGGAAAACTAAACTCACTCACTCACGTTTGTCTCAATTACTTGCAGACCGTCGTCATGTAGCTGGAATATTGTTGAGTGCGGCGGAAAACTAAACTCACTCACTCACTTTGGTCTCAATTACTTGCAGACCGCCGTCATGTAGCTGGAATATTGTTGAGTGCGGCGGAAAACTAAACTCACTCACTCACTTTGGTCTCAATTACTTGCAGACCGTCGTCATGTAGCTGGAATATTGAGTGCGGCGGAAAACTGAGTCTCACTCACTCGCTTTGGTCTCAATTACTTGCAGACCGTCGTCATGTAGCTGGAATATAGCTGGAATATTGTTGAGTGCGGCGGAAAACTAAACTCACTCACTCACTTTGGTCTCAATTACTTGCAGACCGTCGTCATGTAGCTGGAATATTGTTGAGTGCGGCGGAAAACTAAACTCACTCACTCGCTTTGGTCTCAATTACTTGCAGACCGTCGTCATGTAGCTGGAATATTGTTGAGTGCGGCGGAAAACTAAACTCACTCACTCACTTTGGTCTCAATTACTTGCAGACCGTCGTCATGTAGCTGGAATATTGTTGAGTGCGGCGGAAAACTAAACTCACTCACTCACTTTGGTCTCAATTACTTGCAGACCGTCGTCATGTAGCTGGAATATTGTTGAGTGCGGCGGAAAACTAAACTCACTCACTCACTTTTGTCTCAATTACTTGCAGACCGTCGTCATGTAGCTGGAATATTGTTGAGTGCGGCGGAAAACTAAACTCACTCACTCACTTTTGTCTCAATTACTTACAGACCGTCGTCATGTTGCTGGAATATTGTTGAGTGCGGCGGAAAACTAAACTCACTCACTCACTTTGGTCTCAATTACTTACAGACCGTCGTCATGTAGCTGGAATATTGTTGAGTGCGGCGGAAAACTAAACTCACTCACTCACTTTTGTCTCAGTTACTTTCAGACCGTCGTCATGTAGCTGGAATATTGTTGAGTGCGGCGGAAAACTAAACTCACTCACTCACTTTTTGTCTCAGTTACTTGCAATCCGTCGTCATGTAGCTGGAATATTGTTGAGTGCGGCGGAAAACTAAACTCACTCACTCACTTTGGTCTCAAGTACTTGCAGACCGTCGTCATGTAGCTGGAATATTGTTGAGTGCGGCGGAAAACTAAACTCACTCACTCACTTTGGTCTCAGTTACTTGCAGACCGTCGTCAGGTAGCTGGAATATTGTTGAGTGCGGCGGAAAACAACAAACAAACACTGAATGAGTGGTGACTTCTGGGTAAAACTCATGATGTATATGTGCTCTTTTCAGTGGCCATTCGGCAGATGGAGGATATGTCTAAAGAAAAGGGGATAAGTTTCAAGGCTGCGAGGGTAACAATCTTCTTTCATTCTTGAATATGTGCCCTACGTCTTATGTAATGCCCATAAAGATCCGGGTTAGAATTGGTCTTCTGTAACCCATGCTTGTCATAAGAGGCGACTAACGGGATCGGGGGTGAGGCTTGCTGACTTTGTTGACAAATGTCATTGTATCTCAATTTCGTATAGATCGATTCTTATGCTGTTGATCACTGGACTGTCTGGTCCGGACTCGATTAAACAACAACAAAAACAAAAATCGTCCAACCGTAACCTCACTACCTCGGACTAAAACGTTGAAATGCTGCTAAATGTTATTGTTCAAGAAACAGATTTACCATTCGGTCACGTGAAGTGGGATATAAACATTTACAGCCTTGAGCACGCTAAATAGGATTGCTGCAATACAGTGTATACGTACTTAAAACTTAACATTAATGCCACATATCTGTTGGTAACTTAATTTGGAATCTATATCTAAATGTAATGTTTGTGATGTCAAAATCAAAGATGGTTGACAAAGTTCAAGATGGCCGCCAGGCGTGTGTTACCATGCGGCAGTGCATTAATAGCTGCCTCTGTTGGTGCCAGTCGGCCCCGAGCTGTAGTGGAATAAAACATCTATCTGGAGAGTGGAAGGTCGATCAAGAGACCGCGTCATACCAACAGAAGTGCCTGAATTGGACGCATGAAGCCTCCTTTCTCCCAACGACACATTATTTTTCGAACATCCAATTTTTTCAGTGTGTGTGTGTGTGTGAGGTGAGGTGAAATTGGGTTTAACGTCGTGCTTGAGAATATTTCGCTAATATGACGACGTGCATGCGTGTGTATGTGTAGGTGCGGCTGCTTGTACTAGCCCAGACTTAAGCTGGTTTTATAGTGCTTGCCCACTGGGATACCATGCCGCAGTGAAGCATGAATAACCCACTCAGACAGAGTATACTGACTCCGAGCCGACCAGTCCTTGTTGTACCCAGTAATGCCGAGCGCCAGGCAGGGACCAACAAGTACCATATGTTAACGTCTTTTGGTATGACGCGGTCGGGGATCTAACCCGCGACCTTCCGCTCTCCGGGCGGACGCTCTAACCACTACACCACGGAGGCGGTGTGTGTGTGTGTGTGTGTGTGTGTGCGTGCGCGCGTGTGTGTGTGCGTGCGTGTGTGTGTGCAATTTTAAGTCATTTTTGGATTACAGTACATGTGCATATGTTTTACAAATAGTCATACATGCTCGCATAATAACAAATGGCAGACCGTTTAACCTTTGCCATCCTGCCTTGTGTGTTCTAGAATGACAACAGACATTTTCCTTTGTAGGAACATTTCACCAACGAGCATCCAACCAAGAAACCTGTCACTATAGACGAGGTAGGAGACACTGATGTCAGAAACCCCGTGACACGGGACTACTGTAGAGGTTTCTGTTGGGTTTTTCTGTTCCCTTTGCAAAGATGACTGACTTCAGACTTCTATCATGGTCATCATTATGACGGCTCTGTTGTATTCTCTTGGCAAATGACATTAAAAGTTATAGGTCAAGCTTACGTAAATGGTTCTGGTTGAAATATCCTAAACTTGTTCATCCATTTGTCATACGTTTACTTATGTACCTACTCTAGGAACGGTTTCTTTCCCTAAACACTTTTGGTTATGATTTCGCAAAGGTCAAGGCCAGCGTTCAGGGTTTTGTAAAACTTGGATATGTCATCGTTCGTTTCTCAGGCATGGATTCATCTACAAACATGACTCGTTATGTTTTTATGTGTATTTACATTTTGGTGATGTGTCCGTCGAATATAATGTATCAATAGCCTTGCAAAAATGCCTCTGACCTTGACCTCAACTTGACCTGTTTAACCATGCGCAATTGTGTTTCAGGTGTGTGGTCTCGTTGACTTCCTGTGCACATCATCAGCAGACAACATGACAGCAAGCGCCATCTTGATGGACGGCGGGAACGTTGCTCACTAGCACAATGTCCGGCAGGGCAGGAGTGACACTACGTCCATGAAGTAATCAGATTCTATTGATAAATAACCACAATTCCAATACCACAATTCTAGAAATCTGGAGTACGAGTGACGCTGAGATTTGCTATTTGATAATAATCTTGTCCAGATATTTTGGGGGAAAGTCATTTGGCCTCAGGTTCTTGATGGACGGCGGGAACGTTGCCCACCAGCACAATGTCAAGCAGGGCAGGAGAAGTGAAACGAGATCCATGAAGTAACCAGATTCTATTGATAAATAACCACAATTCCAATGCCACATTTCTGTCATTCTCGAGCACGACTGGCCTGAGATTTGCTATTTAATAATAATCTTGTCCAGAATTCCAAACAAATTGTCAGAGAAACATTTTATGTCCAAGAGCAGTGACTATCTCTTTCTTTCTATGTTGAGCTTTCTATGATAAGAGCTACACGAAGGACTTGGTTCCTTCTGATGCCAGAAAATGTGGCTGTCTTTGAAGTATCGCCCTCTAACATCCAACATTAGTTTCTTCAGTATATATTTGATTGTTCGTTTGACATCAACACAACATTTATAGAGAAAAAACAACAAGTATGAGCAAGTTTGTTATCCAAGACGTAATAGTCATCAGACAATGGTGTTGTTATTTCCATCAACATTAATAAGTATTTTACGAAAGAATGTTTATGTTGAAAATTCTGAATAAAAGTTTCGAAAAAAACGTTCTTCTCATTTGTTCGTCAAACTACTTGATTTCTCTAAGACACGTACGTGAAAGTTTCGATATGATGTACGTTTTTCGAATAAGTATCATCTTTTTTTAATTATTCCTATTTTTGTTGTACATCAAATCATACGTCATTTACATATACAGTTGCATTGAAGAATTCATATAGTGTAGAGGCAGTGTCATGCCCATGTGATTTTGATGGATACTCAACAAAATAAGTAAAGGACCACGCCAATATTCAATATTTAAGTAATATGTGGATCATAATATGAACTATTAAATACTTTGATATTGAAAATTGGGATGGTCCTTCACATTTTTTGCTGAGTATACATGACCAAACTCATGTTGTTTGGCGGTGGGGTCAGGGTGGGGGTCTTTCTTATCAGCTATTCAGTTCTATTCCTAGATCTTTTTCTTCGACCGTTATCCATTGTCATTTTGCATATCTTTATCCTTATCTTATTCTATTTCCACATATTTCCTTGGTCCTACCCCGTAGACGTTTTAGTTCAACCTTGTCATTGATCCTATTTCTTCATCTGATCTTTAATTCCACTCCTTGATCACACTCTCTAATACTATACCTTGGTCTCATTCTAAGGTCCAAGTCCCTTGACTCACCTTGACCGTATCATAATATGTACACATGCACTCAGTGTAACGCTGACCTGCTTCCTTGCTGGGGTCGTTTAACGGAACGATCCCCTGAGGTAAAATAAACAACCCCCCACCCTCCTATAACTCTCCGCCAACAGACTGCTAAGTAGGTCATCCCAAGGAAAGGGATCCTCAGTAGGTCAACCTTATCTGGAGATAAAAGCAAAACAAGCGGACTGCAAATAGCCCCCCCGGGTGTGTGTCAGCACGTGATCGGGTAGATGGGTCCCTACTTCCTGGTCTTGTTCCACGCGGTTTGTTTGTCTTGTCTTTTGATAGTTAGGTAAAACTGACATCCAAGTAAATATCACATAGGACTCGGAGTCAAGCGCTGATAGCCACCTTGTTGAAATTGAGTTAAGATACGTTATCGGGGTGAGGGTCATAGGCTGTGTGGGTTTTCTTTCTTGTTTTGTTTTTTTGTCCTGGGGGTGGTGTTTTTTGTGAGTGTTTTTTGTGAGTGTTTTTTTTTTTCATCTAATATTGTAAAATGGGGGGTGCGGCTTGGAACGGGAGTGGTTGGTGGGTAGTTTTGTGTTGAAGCGGAGTGGGGTGTTGTTGTTTTTTGTTGTTGTTGTTTGTTTTGTTGTTTTGTTTTTGTGTTGTGGGGAGTGTGTGTTTTGTTTTGCCTTTGGTGTGTGTGTGTTTTGTTTTTGTTTTTTTGTCAAACCTCAAGAAAACAAAGTTTAACCACAGGCAGTATCTGAGGAACGTGTAATAGTCGGACCTTAAAGCGTGGGTTGGCTTTGACTGGTTCCTGCCAGATCCTCCACTTGGTGTCGCTGCGGGAAATAACGGAAACCAGTTCAAGTTTTTTTGGGTGTTTTTGTTGTTGTCTTCTTTTTTGGGGTTTTTTTTTTCTTCTAATTTTTAGCACTAGGTCAGATGTTACACATGCGATACATAAGCATATACATCAAGCGGGGTGTTACACTACTTCTATGTGATTCCAAATGTACAATATTTGCTTTACATACTATAATGAGAAATAAGGGGAAATATACGATATTAGTACTAGAAGTGAAAGTGTGGGAATGGGAAGAGAAGACAGGAGAGAAAGCATAAGCAGGAGGGGGGGGGGAGAGAGAGATGGCGTGTCGGTGGCTGCGTGTTTAATTTTCTACAGCTGTAAGTATTGGTATCAATGATTACCATTTGTTTTTTAAAATGGTATTGGCATAGCCGTAAATATGTTTTTCAATGTTAAAAATTTGCTTGATAATTTTTATCAAACCTGGGAAATGCAACTTGTTTTTTTAATATTTTTACACGTGTAGATAAATACATTTTGAGAATGTTATACAAATGGTTTAACAGAATACTTTGATTGGGGTCTCCAAGTAAGATAATTGATTTTGATATTATTAATTTCGTCTTGGTTGTTCCTTTAAACCATATTCGAAACTGTCTTATCAGATTTTGAGTTTATCTGCAATCGTATAAGGATGTTCAAGTGTTTCTGGCTCCTCAGTGCAAAGAAAGCAGTGGCTGCTGTCAGATATCCCTATATAATGAAAAAAGTTTGTGTTGTTAAAATCAGTGGCTGCTGTCGGATATCCCTGTATAATGAAGAAAAGATTGTGTTGTTAAAATCAGTGGCTGCTGTCAGATATCCCTGTATAATGAAAAAAAGTTTGTGTTGTTAAAATCAGTGGCTGCTGTCAGATATCCCTATATAATGAAGGAAAGTTTCTGTTGTTAAAATCAGTGGCTGCTGTCAGATATCCCTGTATAATGAAGAAACGTTTGTGTTGTTAAAATCAGTGGCTGCTGTCAGATATCCCTACATAAAGAAAAAAAGTTTGTGTTGTTAAAATCAGTGGCTGCTGTCAGATATCCCTGTATAATGAAGAAAAGATTGTGTTGTTAAAATCAGTGGCTGCTGTCAGATATCCCTGTATAATGAAAAAAAGTTTGTGTTGTTAAAATCAGTGGCTGCTGTCAGATATCCCTATATAATGAAGGAAAGTTTGTGTTGTTAAAATCAGTGGCTGCTGTCAGATATCCCTGTATAATGAAGAAACGTTTGTGTTGTTAAAATCAGTGGCTGCTGTCAGATATCCCTACATAAAGAAAAAAAGTTTGTGTTGTTAAAATCAGTGGCTGTTGTCAGATATCCCTATATAATGAAAAAAGTTTGTGTTGTTAAAATCAGTGGCTGCTGTCAGATATCCCTGTATAATGAAGAAAAGATTGTGTTGTTAAAATCAGTGGCTGCTGTCAGATATCCCTGTATAATGAAAAAAGTTTGTGTTGTTAAAATCAGTGGCTGCTGTCAGATATCCCTATATAATGAAGGAAAGTTTGTGTTGTTAAAATCAGTGGCTGCTGTCAGATATCCCTGTATAATGAAGAAACGTTTGTGTTGTTAAAATCAGTGGCTGTTGTCAGATATCCCTATATAATGAAGAAAAGTTTGTGTTGTTAAAATCAGTGGCTGCTGTCAGATATCCCTATATAATGAAGAAAAGTTTGTGTTGTTAAAATCAGTGGCTGCTGTCAGATATCCCTATATAATGAGAAAAAGTTTGTGTTGTTAAAATCAGTGGCTGCTGTCAGATATCCCTGTATAATGAAGAAACGTTTGTGTTGTTAAAATCAGTGGCTGCTGTCAGATATCCCTACATAAAGAAAAAACGTTTGTGTTGTTAAAATCAGTGGCTGCTGTCAGATATCCCTGTATAATGAAAAAAAGTTTGTGTTGTTAAAATCAGTGGCTGCTGTCAGATATCCCTATATAATGAAGAAAAGTTTGTGTTGTTAAAATCAGTGGCTGCTGTCAGATATCCCTATATAATGAAGAAAAGTTTGTGTTGTTAAAATCAGTGGCTGCTGTCAGATATCCCTATATAATGAAGGAAAGTTTGTGTTGTTAAAATCAGTGGCTGCTGTCAGATATCCCTATATAATGAAGAAACGTTTGTGTTGTTAAAATCAGTGGCTGCTGTCAGATATCCCTACAGAAAAAGAAAAAAAGTTTGTGTTGTTAAAATCAGTGGCTGTTGTCAGATATCCCTATATAATGAAAAAAGTTTGTGTTGTTAAAATCAGTGGCTGCTGTCAGATATCCCTGTATAATGAAGAAAAGATTGTGTTGTTAAAATCAGTGGCTGCTGTCAGATATCCCTGTATAATGAAAAAAAGTTTGTGTTGTTAAAATCAGTGGCTGCTGTCAGATATCCCTATATAATGAAGGAAAGTTTGTGTTGTTAAAATCAGTGGCTGCTGTCAGATATCCCTGTATAATGAAGAAACGTTTGTGTTGTTAAAATCAGTGGCTGTTGTCAGTTATCCCTATATAATGAAAAAGTTTGTGTTGTTAAAATCAGTGGCTGTTGTCAGATATCCCTATATAATGAAGAAAAGATTGTGTTGTTAAAATCAGTGGCTGCTGTCAGATATCCCTGTAAAATGAAAAAAAGTTTGTGTTGTTAAAATCAGTGGCTGCTGTCAGATATCCCTATATAATGAAGAAACGTTTGTGTTGTTAAAATCAGTGGCTGTTGTCAGATATCCCTGTATAATGAAGAAACGTTTGTGTTGTTAAAATCAGTGGCTGTTGTCAGATATCCCTACATAAAGAAAAAAAGTTTGTGTTGTTAAAATCAGTGGCTGCTGTCAGATATCCCTATATAATGAAGAAAAGTTTGTGTTGTTAAAATCAGTGGCTGCTGTCAGATATCCCTGTATAATGAAGAAAAGTTTGTGTTGTTAAAATCAGTGGCTGTTGTCAGATATCCCTTTGTAATGAGGAACAGTTTGTGTTGTTAAAATCAGTGGCTGTTGTCAGATATCCCTTTGTAATGAAGAAAAGTTTGTGTTGTTAAATTCAGTGGCTGCTGTCAGATATCCCTATATAATGAAGAAAAGTTTGTGTTGTTAAAATCAGTGGCTGTTGTCAGATATCCCTGTATAGTGAAGAAAAGTTTGTGTTGTTAAAATCAGTGGCGGCTGTCAGATATCCCTGTATAATGAAGAAAAGTTCGTGTTGTTAAAATCAGTGGCTGCTGTCAGATATCCCTTTGTAATGAGGAACAGTTTGTGTTGTTAAAATCAGTGTCTGCTGTCAGATATCCCTATATAATGAAGAAAAGTTTGTGTTGTTAAAATCAGTGGCTGTTGTCAGATATCCCTGTATAGTGAAGAAAAGTTTGTGTTGTTAAAATCAGTGGCTGCTGTCAGATATCCCTGTATAATGAAGAAAAGTTTGTGTTGTTAAAATCAGTGGCTGCTGTCAGATATCCCTGTATAATGAAGAAAAGTTTGTGTTGTTAAAATCAGTGGCTGTTGTCAGATATCCCTGTATAGTGAAGAAAAGTGTGTGTTGTTAA